ATTTGTGAGCATAGGTAGTATCCCACTTTTCAGTTACATTTAGCTGTATCTGAGAACTGCTACAAACTATCCCATAGCATATTTCCTGTCAAAATAACTCCCAGGTTCTTGAAGATCTAGTTGTAAAAAGATTTTAAAGGCCATTACTTATTTTACTGCATTCATTATATTAAATTCTCTTCAAGAATTACTAAAAGTAATATAATGTGGAGCAATTAAGCACAACACCATGCGTAAGCATGAACCGAAACAGAAGTTCTCTTTTTATTTGAGGAATACAGTGAGTCTTCTCAAAAGTCACAGCTCTTACTAAATATAGATTTTTATTTTTAAATCTATCAATAGATGCTAGTGTAATTCATCAATTAAGCAAGACCTAAAAGGAATTTAGGAACTGTCCCTTGCCCAGAGATGTGAAATGCCTGTTTTATTTGTTCCAAATGAAAGTTTAAATTCTACAAAGTCAAAAGTAAGCTTTTGGTGTGTGACTTCTAAACGTGATTACAGGGCAAAGAAAAAAGTTTCAAATTCTGCAAGCAGCCTTGAACAACTGGGTTCCATCAATCTTTCTGGGATGCTGTAAGCTTCATCTAATAAAGAATGAATGGGAAGTATTAGCTCCCATGACACCAATCTTTTACAAGTGTAGCTGAATACAACAATATTGCAGTTATACAAACGCAATACATACGTTTCGAATGTCATATACCTGATTTAAAAGAATAATGTACTACAGTATCCATAAGGTACATGTTAAATAAGCTGAGATTGACAAATGATGAAAAGTAGCCATCAGTCATCATTAATAGAATGTTTTGGGGGTTTCCTTTAGTAGGGTCCTAGAAGGACGGAGGATCCAACATATCCTTTAATGATTCAGACATAGATATAAAACAGCACTAAGAAAAGGCTGCAGAGAAACAGACTAGTAATTAGTGAGGATAAGGTAGTTGCACAGAGTGATCTGCATAGGCCAGAAAACTGAGCCCATTTGAACAAAATATGTATTTGTTGTAGAGCTAAAGGTAGGCTGTCTCCTCCGAAGGGTAGACTGTATCCTGGAAAATACCAGTTCTGGAAAAACTCTAGATGTCACATCGTGGTCGAGAAGCAATTTAATGCAAGTTCCCCCTGTAATAATATGGCAAAAAGGGTAAATGTAGTCTTTGAGTATACATGTAGGAGAATAGTAAGCCGCGGTATGGAGGACCATATTCTAATGCCAAATACAGTGATAAATTATGCCCAGTGCTACATGGCCATGTTTCTTAAAAAACTCTGTTGACAAACTGATGGCCAGCTTTCCAGCCTGGAAAATACCCTTACAAGGGATGCTGTCTTTCATACAGATAGAGGTGACTTGCTTGCAGTTTATGCATACCTAAAGATGAAAAAAAAACCCACCAAAAAACCCAAACCAAAATAAAGAATACTAGGCTTTAGTGACTAACAGCAAAGATGAACATTGGAAGAATCAAATATTAGAAAACAAGGCCAAACAAGCTGGATTTAGAATTAAGGTACAATTCCTAAAAGAGCAAAGGCTATTTAACCATTTGAACAAACTGCAAAGTGAAACTATGGATTTTTCATTATCCATCTTCAAATTAAGACCCTCAAGTTCTTCTGGCAGATGTTTTTATGGAAATTCAAGTTAGTTATAGGACTCATCACACAGATGAGCCGATGAGATCTACCATTTTGCACTATGTAGGGTCAGGCCATATTATCTAGTAGTTGATTAATGACTTGATTTCAGTGGTTACTGGTGGCACTTTCATGCAATTATCTACTTAGTCATCATATGATTAGATGAAATGAGGAGAGGGAAGGCTGGAAATGAAACTCAAAAAAGAGTGACTGGAAATTACTTCTAGAGATCATACAGGGAAAATTTGGTTAAGGAGTAAACCAATGAGCAAAGACCAGGTGCATTCCTCAATGCATGTACAGCTCCCATATAGTGAAGCTACATGAAGCAACAGCTATATATGTAATTGTTTATTTTGTGTCTTACTAGCTAATGGCCAAATTCCTTATTCAACTTTAGACAACTTTCTTATGAAGATCAATGAGGAATCTTCAAGCTGAGGGAACCACATCTACCTAAACGCCTGCTACAGTCCACAGAGTTGGAACATGACGTGACTTTTCCTTCACAATGAACTTGCCACCTCCAGTTTAGTATGTTACTTGGCTCCAGCTGTTACTATGCTTAGAAGTTATATGCTGGACTCCAGAATTAATCCAAGAGGGTTGCTGCTATATTGGATCGGTTCTGATGCTGGCCAAAGCAGGCGTTATCCTGGAACTCACTTGCAGCAACAGACAGGATAGATGTCCTCCTCTACAGTGTAATTCACTTAGATGTTATTGGCATAAATGTTGTTCAGGTATTACTCAGTTTAATTAAAGGTCATCTTTCTTATCTGCCAGGAATGGGTCAGCGCCCAACTAAAAGCAGGTACATGCTGTTTCAGGTTTGGCTTTCTCTGCTGGTCGCTATTAATGGTATGATTCCTAGCACAGTACCTTCTGTGCATTCTCTATAGCTTATTTTCCACAACCAGAGTATAAGAAATAACTGTATTTTCCGTACTCTTCCTTGAAATTCTAATGATGCAGCAATTTCTTTCTGCCTTAGTGTCTCTTCTACTACGTTATCTGAAATGCCACTGTTTCAATTTTATATTCACTTACTCCCAACCCAATAAATTTACCTGTTTCCCTGACTCTGCACATGCATTCTTCACTGCCTGCTTGTTCTGTATAGGTCACTTTTGTTATTGTTTTTCTCCACATCTACTTTCACTCCTAGCTGTCCTATGTAGAGTACCTTGACACCTTAAATTTCCACAGTTCAGGGAAATACAGAAATGGGCAGGGATGAAATTTTGTTAACTCTACCTGAGAAACAGCTTTCGAAATTCTTTATTTAAACTTCCCTTTCTGTATCAGCTAAGGCAACTTCTATCCACATGTCTGTTCTTTGAATATGATCTCAGATTAAACAGTGGAGAATGTTCTTAGAACGTATTTCTAAGGTAGAATGAACACCAATATTTCAGCACTTTTCTGGTTCTGCATTTTAATAGTACCTACATATCTGTTCCATTACCAAGACCTTAAATGCTAGGACAACATGTAATATATCTTTTATTTCATCACTGCTCAAGGCAAAGCCCTGCAGTCCCCTGTTCTTTATGTCTTAAATGACAAAAGCTTTATTACCAGTCAATAAAATGCACTGTGCTAAAACCCACATTATTTAGCATATCAAATATGACTTTATGACTATAGTGAATAAAGGTGAGGTTTTCAAAAACTTCTTCACTGGTCACAAACAAGAGAATTTAAAATTAGTCCCCAAGCCCTTATGCTGCAATGCCATCACACTTATTTCAGAAGATTCAGCCAACATGTAAAATGGTCTGCAATGGATTTGGATGCTCTTCAGCTCTCCTGCAGGTTAAGCTGCAATAAAGGGAGTAATTAGATGCATTTAACATCTGCTACAAAGCCACCAACATGACTTTTTCAAGCTTTGTACCAAGACTCATAATTGTGTTCCTGATCTGTTTCCAAGTTAATTAAACTGGGAGGGAAAAGAAAAATGCCTTTTAGAAGTAAAATGTGTTTTGTAACTGCTTTCAGTGAAAATACTGCTACCTTCACATCTCTTTTGAGAGTGTAAAGTTGCCCCTGTCCCTGCTGAAAGGGTCTAATATTGTTGCTAGTATGATGGATCACTTTTCTAGATGTAAATGCATGTAAATGCAAGTAACCACAACTATCAATGTATTTCTAGATACCTGAATGATGATACCCACAGTTTTTGCTCAAAGCAGTAAAAACACTGACATGTTATATGACAGAAAACTGTATATGATCCATATGTACCCAGCCTCCTTATTTTCAGCAAACTACCATAAAATCAGGACCAAGGCCATTGGCTTGCCTTCTACTGATTACTGAACGTGCATTTAACGAATCTGCCCTCTTCCACAGCAAAATGAACACACTATTTCAGCTTCTGCAGTAAGAAGCAACACAGACCAACAAAACATTCAGCTGTAGATTAAATTAAGAGCTTTAATCGAAGCACAGACAGTAGAGAATACAGTATTCTTAGTTTCCCCCAAAAGATAAAAAAACCCTTCATAAGTATTTTACAAATTTACAAAATGTAAATTTTCCTTTTACAAATAATATGCAAATGTTTTTCACTACAAAACATATACTACATTTCTATGTTACAACTGTTGCCTTCTTTTAGAATTATGTACTCCCTAAACTGTTCTCCTTAAAAAAAAAACAGGAAAGTATAATGAATCCAAAAGTATAATAAATATATTGCTAATGAGGGTGGTAAGTGATGAAGAAAATGATTCAAAACACCCAGTTCTTTTATCCATCAGACTGCTAACTAAACGGGTTAGTCGAATGAATTATATTAACATGAATAAATGTTTTGAGTGTCAACCCTCAAAGCAAGATTGAACAATACAGTCAGTCAAATCTCCATGGTCTGAAAAAGATGGTAAGAGAGAAAGCAATCCTTCTAGACAAAAATAAGAAATGAAGGTATTAATTACTGAGATTTATCCAGAAAAGGACAGTGCTCAGAATACAGTTTGTATTTTATCCCAGACAGGTAGTATATAGAAGTCTTTATGTATTATCTGGTACCCTAGTACTGGCTTTTGGTTGTCACGCTCATCCTCTCTACTTGCAACATTCCATCACTTACTAAAGTAGATTTGTCTCAGTCATTTCACAAATGATTCTTCTCCAGAGGCTGGAAGGCTTGCTGGAAAAAAACCCACAAAGCAGCCCAGTAACTCATGTGGAGAAATCTGGGCAACATCTGAGGAGCACTTTGACTTGTAGACGGTTAGAATTACTACTAAAAACCTGAAACTTTGAATGAGGAATAGAGAGTGGTGCAACAGAAAAAGTACCAATAAAGCTTTAATAAAAAAAAAACAACTTGCTGAATGTTTTGCAATCTCACTGCACTACGCTGTTGCTCAGCTGGTTCAACCTGCTTGATCGCCTCAAGTCCTGCAAGGAAGGAGATACCCAGAATGGACAGGAGAAACCAGGACCCACATTGTACAGAGCCCCACACAATAGTAACTCACCCAGTTCATTTTGTAGCACTGACTTAAACAGGGACTCTGTTCTCCTTGGCCCACTTTTTCATGATGCGGACAATGTATTCTACTTGAGAATTACCAGTGCTCTTCAGAAGATGCAGTACTTCCCGTAGAGTCTCTCTACAATGGTGAAAAGCAAAGGTTTAAATGAGGGTAAGACCCAACCGATACAATAAACAACTACCCACATCCAAACTATTTCACAAAGCATGGTTCCTAGACAGAGAGGTCCATGCATCTGCAGAGCAGGAATAGGTAAAAATGCACAGTAGATGAGATCCCAGGGGACAAAAAAACCCAAACCAAAACAAGAGTCTTGTATATAATTGCAACGCAGAGAGAACTTAAAAATAAAAAAATCAGCAAAATGCAATTAATTTCGGGTTTGTGTGCGTGTGTATGTATTTATATATAAATCCTTACTCTTGCAAAATAGTTCCCCAGAACAAAGCAAACTTTTTTTTTTTTTGTCTTTAATGCTACTTGCTAGTCTTCAGTATGGCAACGTCTAGCTTAATGCTGTCAAAGCACCTTCTGTATAAATACAAATAACATGGAAATTAACATTACCAATAGGATAAACCAGTGTGAAGCTGCAGTTTGCCAGCTACTTTACTGTAAGAACTTGTATGCATGTTGAAAAACAGGCAAGCTATGTGTATTTTACTGCATCTACTGCAGTAATTGCTAAAAGGGCTCTTGAAGGGTGCAGTAGTTAATGAGATTATTCCAGCAGAGAAGGGAATACAAGGAAGGTGTAGAAGCCAAGATACACACCTACCAGTCATGTACGAAACAGCAACTTTGGCCAGGGGAGAATGGCCATCTGGTATCACCACAGAATGTTCATGAGGGAACAGTTCTTAAATACAGGCTCACTACTCTGTCTCATTCTCCCATCCAGTGAAGTGGACCGACAGCAAAATTATCAGTAACACAGATAATGTCCTTTAAGCTTTCATCAAGTAAGTATATTTGTCTGACATAGACAGTGTCTTCAGAAAGCAAATTTTAGTGAAAACACAGTCTCATCTACTCACTGTTTAGAGAAATTGTGCCCTTCCTACAGCAGAGTAAATGTTTCCTTAGTTCTGTTCTATGAAGTTTAAAATGTCATGGGACAGTTTTCCATTCTCAAGCCATCAACATGAAATGAGGTTCTTTCCCCTCAGTTCAAGAACATACTACATTTATAACTTAGCTCTTCCTAGTATAATGACTAACGTATTTTGGTTTCCTACAGTTCATAGCATTCATTGATAAGTTATTCTCCACCTGTAACTGTTGGTGTGGAAGATACACTTCAGATTGAACACTGCATATGGAACCATGGGCCAGAGCGTCTGTTCTCTGAAAGGTCAATAAAGAATTGGAAGAGGATACGTAGTCCTAAAGCTAAGATTATGATTCTGGCTTACAGCTAACTGGAAACAGGAAAAGAGCAAAATAAATTCAGATATAACACAGAATACTCACTTTGCTTCTCGGCCAGCTAAGATCATTTGAAAGACACCCACACAGGCACCTCTCTTGCCTTCCCAGTATTCAGGATTACTGTCCAGTCTCTCCAGAACATCAAATGCTTTGGCTGAATAGTAAAACTGTCGCACCTGCACAGAAAGTGAAACATTATTCCTGACGATATGGCCATCTTTCAGAAGGGGATTAAACATTTTGAGCTCAGTTTTCTGAAATCAGCAGTAAGGCATAGAAGCAATGTGCATTTTCATGTTTTTCTGCAGGCAGCAAGTGACACAGAACAGGCACATTTCAGTTCTATGTAGGGAAACAGGTGGTATTATAACATTACTAGTCTATGTCTTTGAATATATTATATACAAACTGCGCTGTGAACTTTATTAGTTGGCAACGATCAGCACTGTTGTTTTGATCATATACAGATAACACTAGCACAGAAATTCTTTTTTATGAGGTGCCCTATCTAGTGTTGTACTGACTATACCAAAGTCCTTGATAGAATATCAACTTCAAACTAGTGCAAACATTTGAAAATGGAACCAATTTTCCTCATGTAGAGATGGTCACAGATACGTATTTGGTTGTCTTTTGGGTTTAACTTAGAGCTAAATTTTTTTCTGCACTGTTACAGTACAGTACAAAACAAGATTCGGCAGCCTCTATAATCCAAAATGTTCCTGAGCAAAAGGAGTGACCACAGTAACTGTGGCTTTTGAAGTCCGTATAACTCATGTGGACTTTATCTATGACTGTGAGTGTTCTTCACTTGGGCAAGCCTGAATAGCAATGTTGTTTGTCGCCAGCATCTTCCCATGAGAGAGCTCAGAAGGTAGACTGAGCACAACCTCCCATCCTTTGGTGGCTGGAAGCCTGCATCTGCTGAGAAAAAAGGACAGGCTGTGGGAGTTACGTTTGGAAATTTTAGTCAGAGAAACACAGGTACTACAGAAGGAGTAATAATTCCCTTTTCTTCACATAAATGGTGATTTTAACCACAGGTGACTGGCAAGCACTCAAATGGATGGGAATAAAGATAGTAAGTATAAACACTATCAGGTGTGTCAGCTAAAAAGAAAAAAATGAGTACTGATTTCTCCAAACTGGCATCTGATCTAGTTCCATTAAGCATATATCGGTTTAATGTCCTCCTTCTACCTGACATAGAAGCAGGAAACGCTTCACCCCAAGTCATGTGCCGTTCACTATATGGATAAGATAGGCTATTGCATGAAAAGCAGCAAGAAATTAGCCAGAACTTCTGCATCCCAGCTTCCTCATGGAACAAATTCTATCAGCATAGCAATGGGGCATCTAGTTACACCTAGTCTCAGGACACTGTTGACCCTGCTCCATCTATGTTCATTCAGCATTCTGTTGAGTGAAGCCTAGTGTGACTGCCCTCTTAAGTTACAGTTATGGTGCTGTCTGTGGACCTCCAATATAATAGAAAGACAAATTGTAACACTATAGTTATCATTTTTGAAATTAAATTCCTTGGTCTTTGGAGCAGTCATTTATGGCCATACATAGACACATAATTAGGCTGAAAAATTTAGTCCTGTAAGTGCAGTTTTTAAGAGCTCTAGATAAATCCGAAGCATGGAGCTGATTCTCCTCCAGAGTACAATAAGGTTTTGAGAAGAATTTAGGCAAAGCAATCAACTGATTTAAGTGAGACTTAAAATGGTCTAGTGAGAGATTTTACATAAGGTCTGATTGTCAACTTGCTTTCAGAAATTGCAGCTACAGGGAACACCAGAGGCATAGCCATTTGCTTGAGCAACAAGACTTCTAGGGTGAGATGGTGGATTGAATACTTGAAACGTGTAAGAGATAATTTGCTCAGTTTTAGAAGAATGTTTTTGAGATCACAAGGTACATTTTCTGACTTTCAGTTACGTGTTAGGATTTTGAGAACACGTTACTTGGTCAGATGGAGAAAAACAGCAAAAAATAATGTTACAGATAGTAGGCAGATATTGCTGCTCTTTGGGGAGCTTGGCTGAACTGAGAATCATTGGGAGGTTTTCCAACAGAACTCAGTTTACTATTTTTCCTCTATGCTGGCAAGTTTGGTCACTGTATCTTCAGTAAGCCTATGCTAACAGCTGCTAGCTCTTATTAGGCTCCACTGAACCAGCTCCATGAGCTTTACACCTATTATCTGTGTTCTGCTCTTCTCCCATCCGCCTTCTTAAAACAGTGAACTACTATATTTGCACAATCACAAAATCACAATCTGTCTTTACATTCTATATTTAATTTAAATTAAATCTAAACCAGTTGCTCCCCAAATAACTTCAGTCCACCTGCTGGCTCTGGCCAATACATTCTGAAAAGTGGGTGGCCTGTGCCTCACCATGACACTTTTCCAAAGAACATCCTTTTCTCCTGTCACTGAGCTGCCACTCCTCTAGATTCCAACACAGTGCAATCATCCTTGTAGATGGCACAGAGGATGCCAGATACAGCATCCTATTACTGTTGACTGAAATCATGCACAGCAGTACTCTGCATAGGACAACAAATATTTCTTTCTCCTATAGTGTCACTTACAATCCTCTCAAGTTTTCTTTATATATGCCTCTACAATCACACTGTGGAGGAAGCTCTCGTGTTTTCTTTCCATGCTTTGTAGAACAGCAAAAAAACTTGACTCATAGCTAAGTCTCACTGTCTATAGACACCATCTGAAGAATTAGATGTTAGGAATTTAGGCCGAATTGTAATCAGCTTCCCAAGATCTCTTCACTACTAACATAGCTTCGTATAAACTAGAATTTGGAGGTGTGCCAGCAATGTATTAGCATGGAGCATCAAAACTAGTAAACACAATCTAGAAGCTTAGTACAAGCAAGGTAGCATATATTTTAACTTGTTCTAAAATGCCTAGAGCATCCCTGCTAAAGTGGACATTGTCTTGTCTAGCCTGACTTTTAAAAATGTTAGACAGTTTAGTCTAACCTCATCTCTTTAAAAGTCCCCTCAGAAAAGGTTCAAAAGAAGAATTATTATGTGTTAGGAGGGATCCCGCTGTAGGCAGTTAAGCTCACCATTTTTTCTGAGTAGTTTTATTCTTAACGACTACACACACCCTGTATCTCTTTGCCCCACTTGGGCAGACAGAATAGTAGATGTGGGAATTCTCTTTCCATTTCCTTATGATCAGCAAAGGAGTATCTCCCATTGCCTTTACCATCTTTAAGGAAAAAATAACACTGTCCCAGAAAATCTATGTTAGATTTTTTTCCCTAAGTTTCTTGTCATTTCTACCAACAGTGAATCCCTGCTAGGAGAAGAAACCGTTATTGTTATTGATAGCTCAAGCATGTGGTAATTTACCAGCATTTTAATCAGTGGGTTGTCTACCAAGAAAGCTTGTAGGTTAAAATACTGACTAATCCTTGCCAAGTCACCTACAATATTAGGCATCCCACTGTTATAAAAGAAAGTTCACTAGAGATGACAATGATGGAAAGTATCAAAGAAATGGCTGTTGGTACAATCACTGAATTAACATGCCATACACCAAGTTCTAAAGAGAAGACTCACTTTGTAGCAATCATTTGCAATGAGCTGCAATAGGTTAAAGGACTCCCCTGAGGTCTCCATCTTCAGATAGAGCTTCCAGGCCAACTGTGGTTTCTTATTCATAATATCTGCAATAACAACAAAAAGCTGGGATTGTGAAAAGAATATGCTATGCACAAAACTCAATGGCAGGTAGAATAAATGTTCCTAAATTTCTTTGCTTAATGTAAATGCATGCCTCACCCTGGGAGCATGAGGTTGAGAAGGGAAACTTGTCCTTATCTTCTGCCTCACTAGCAATAACAACCAATTCATCAGAGAATACCAACGTCAAGAGGAATAATTATGGCGTTTACATCTCAATTTATATTTCACAGATACAGCAGTAAGCACAACTCTCATGATTTCAGATATGATTACGGAAAGAATGGAAAGCATTAGAGAAGTTATTTTTTGCAGGATAATGAACTGTGGCAATCCCTTTAGATGGTGAGATTTAGGATTATGTGTTCTTACACACAGAAAAAATTTCATTGGCACAAAACTGAGGTCTTTAATACTTGGTGCCCACCTCAGTCTAAACACTCACTTCCCATGATTCATAACAAACTGAAAGGTGGGGGAGTGGGGTGGGGGTGGGAAGCAAAGCCCCTCTGAGAATAATAAAACTTGTCATTATGCATCTACTAGGAAAAATGTTTCTAAATTCCCGAGATTTTGTGCTGGTTTTAAATTTGCCTGTATGACTAGAATTTTTCATTGGCCTTTAACTTTAAACATCACTGCTACACACAATTAGAAATAAAAGAATCTGAATCTTCCCTGTCAGCTAGTGGAAATTCTGCTAGGGTGTTTGAACACTATGAGTTCTAAAATTTGATTTTCTGGAAATAGGAACCCATTCTGTTGAATCTGAGGTTGATATTGGTAATTACAGACTCATTCAAGTACTGTGAGAAAAGAAAATGAAATTAAGTATTCCTTTATTTTTCAAGTCTTACCAGCTACTCAGAGAGTAGCTGGCTGTTCACACATGGACCACTCTTGTGCTCTTTCCAAAGAGGGACTGTTTAGCTTATTGTATCTGTGCCCACTTTGCCAATACATATGTTGCAGGTAGAATGGGTGGCAATCATCAAAAATAAACACGTAACACCAAATCACAGGATTTATGGTCACTTCTCATTTAGGAGGCAGCAAGACACCAAATCGGATTTTTCTTTCATCAGCTCCAGATACCATACACAGTGGCCAACAGCAAGGTCTTAATTTCCAAATACCAACCCATCTATTTAGCAAATGGAATACTATGCTAATTCAATGTTTTTTTACCTTCTCTTCAAGAAGAATTTGGTATAAATAGTACAATTATATTAAACAAAAAAATACTGTCTAGCATCCAAAAAAGATGCATCTCTGGTACTTTCTGCCCTTTGGAAATATTTCAGCATTGAATCGTTTACGATTCAATACATAATCATTCTCTGACATGAATGTATTATAATGCTTTGTAATTTCTACAGCAGCTTTTATCCAGAAGGCTCTAATAGCAATTTACATACTTGACATGAAAAGATAACTATATTCATCACTGAACAGTTGTTTTTGCAAAGAATTCTAGCAGCTGTTTGGGAATGAAAAATCAAAATTTTAAGACAGACACAGAAGAATACAGCAGCTTTACTGGAACTTCAACAGGAATTCAGAATGGCAAAAGGCACACTCAAGAATAACTAGTAACTCCTATGAAAGAGGTAGAAAATTTTTAATTGATAACATGGTGTTAATTCTACTTCTTGTATAATAAGTAGCACCTTCAAAGAGTTCTGCATCCCCAGATGTATGTCAAAGAACTATTATAGCATGGAATCAAAGGGATGAACACTGTCCACAGACAAACCATGAATTTCCTTTGCAATGGGAGTTCTCCCATCAAAAAAAAAAAATCACATAAAACATTCACATATAAAACACTCAAACACAAGAAGATACTGCAGCTTAATGAAAAAGGAAATAAACTGGCATGTCCTAAAATAGAGTCATAGATAAGCATCCATAGGTGTGATGTGTCTGTCTGGGAAGATGTTAGAGATCTTGACCACATCTGCGATACATCTGCAATAGGGCATAATGTCCCAAAACATACATATTTACATTCCAAGTGCAACTACTGAAAATTGTTTGAGAAGAGAACATTTTTGTATTGAGCCACTGTAAGGAAAACAAATTAGCCTAGGGAGTCTCAGACTTGAGTCATTAGAAAAGCCCACCTCTGTACTATTTTGCATGTGGCACTGTAGCTACATCTGTTCTGTGGTGTACTCTGCAATGTTTTAAAAACTGGTTCAGAAAAACTAAGTAAAATTTGCTATAGGATATGAAACATAGCAGGAGTTTTATGGGTTCAAGGGAAGAATGGAAAAGTTTTTGGAAGAAAAAACATGCTGGAGATTATAAAGGACATCCCCCAGGCACAGGAGTTTGAACAACATGATGAGTAATGTGGTAGGAAGAAAAATACCACATATGCTTGCCTGATTCTTCTCTTCCCTAGGCATCTGACATTGGCTACTCTTGGAGGTAGACAGACCCTTGGGCCTGACCCAGTATGGATGCTTCTATTTTGTGTTTTATTCTGAATGTTTCAGAGTTGTAACTCAGTCTTTTAAGACAGAAAATATTCACTCAAGCAACTGAGTAGACAATTGAGAAGAAAAAGGTTCACTGGTTAGGACAAAGCTGCAGTGACAGAACTATAACAGCATTGCACTGAAGCAGTAATTGCTTACTAAAGCCAGATGTATGAAAGGTGCAATAACCACCCACGCTATAACTAGTGCAATCAGCTTTTCACTTTCATAGTCCTGAATCAACCTACAACATTAAATTCAATTAGGAAAGTGGATTGCCAAGATTGATGCAATAGAGGAGGATCTGTATTCTGCAATGTTGAGAGTAAAGTGACTCACAGCAGCGAGCTAGCCAGCTAAGGTAAACAAAATCATTCTTTATCTTCTCACTCTGGATCAAAAGGAACACCTGCAGGAAGAAGGAAGATAAAAGATTATACATGCATGTACTTTTAAACAAACAGAAGGCAGACCTGCCTCGTTTCAACATGCAGTTAAGGCTTAAGCCACACGAACAACTGCTTCATGAGAAAAGCTAAGGCATGTAAGTGCAGTGTAGGGGTATCCGTGTCGGGTAGGTGGGGGATTCAAACAGTGCCATGCTTATCAAGGGACTTCTGCAGCTTCAAAACGCCAAGCTGTGCGGAAGGTGTGGCCTGCTCTGAACAAGTGCCAATGGGCGGCCATGCAACACAAACAGCACAAAGGAACACTGGGCCTGTGGGAAAAGTTATTTGGAATGTGTTTGTTTAGAAAGCAATGTAAGCAATTACATTAGCATCTTCTTGAAATACCAGAAGTTTCACATATATATGAGCCTTTCCTCCCCATACATGTCAGAGATCATTCCAGGTCAGCAATAAGTCATTTCTAACCATTTTAGTTTCAGTAAGGTTCTGAGGCAAAACATTTGTCTTTTGTAACTTACTGTACAAATACAGGTTTATTACAGGTTTATTACATTCTACATCTAAAGGGATGCGTGGGGGGAAGTTATACATTTTAAAATGTACTCTGGCTTTGCTCACAGAAAAAAGCTGTTTATGCCTCTCTGCATGTCTATTTGTAACTATACTAGGATGCTACTGGCAAAACTCAAAATACCTTTATAGGAGCAGATGTATGTACTGGAACAGCAAGTTCCACAGATTACTGACATTTTTATTGGTTAGACATTGCTGATCCCCTGATTTGGGGGGGGGGAGGGAAGGGGTAAAAGGGAAGAAATAAAAAGAAAGCATTATCACTGTAAGTAGCATTTTATCAAAGGTTTTATTTCATTATGTCCAGGTAGGTAAGCTTTTAAATAACTTAATAAGTGCTACATGTGGAGATATTTTACAAGTCTATGAGACACTGGGGAAGGGTGATCTTTATATGAAAGTGTCATCACAATCAAAGATCAGACATTAGGTCAGACTAATCAATTTAATTACATAATTCTGTTGTTTAAATACATCACCTACATAACACAAGTTTATATAGAATCATTTGTAAGAACATAAGAGGAAAAAATGTGGATTAACAGCAGTTCACACCTTTGTGTTTCTCTGTTGCCTGGCTGCAGCTAAAGCTTACTTATAGCATTATCATTTTTATAAAGTCTCAGGAATCAGCATAGCCTGCTAGCATAGTTTTAAAAGATACTCACCTGAATTTTCATCAGGCTAACTTAATTAAGGTAAGTGAATTGAAATATATATCCATTTTGCCTGACAGTCTTGGATATTTTTCTTAGAGAGATGCAATTTCAGGTCACAGAAATTAAGGAGGTGGCTGCTGGGGGGAAAAAAGCCCAAACAAAACAATGCCCTCCCCCCAAAACCCTAGGAGGGCTCTGTTGTGGAGGAACCTGAAGAGTTAAATAGTTAGAAAGACAGGAAAACCAAACAAACCCCACCCAAACCAAGCAAACCTATATGATTCACTTTAGACTACGTGGTTGGGTTTTTTTTCTGGCTTGTCTTCTTTCTAGTCTTGTGGAAAATGTTGCTTCCATCTTCATAATAGCTATTTGCTTTTGCATATTTTAGTTGTAATTAAGTTTCTACAGCACATAGACACAAAAAATGCTGTGTGTAGAAGTTAATCTCTTCCAGCTGCATCTGGATGCTGCTGAATAAGATAGCAAGTACTTCCTCTTTTCCTCCCACATCTCCCAGAGGAAGAATTTTTTTTTTTAAACACAAATTTCTAGGGACACCTAGAAGCTCTTAACTATTCAGTGTCTTTTACTTAGCATGCCCTAGTCAGTCTGAACAATAAGACTGCCTGGGATCCCAAAGCGTAGGAAATCTGATTAAGAGGGCATTCTTTGATCAATTAGAGATAGCTGCAAGCACTCTTGTGATGCAGGACAAGCAGCATGATTTCCCCATATACCTCACATTACAAGATTAGCAAGATAATCTTTTCTGAATAGTGTTCACTGAGAGTTTCAGTTCCTCTAAGGGGAAGAGGATGTTCCGCACAACCTGCTTATTTTCAACTAATGTGAAGATCTGGAAGGAGAAAAGGAAGGAAAGAGGGGAGTATGTGGGAAATATTTCCATTGTTGTTTTTGAAAGAAAGTAAATACATACCTCTTCAGCCTCACTAAAATTGCCCATGGCAGCTTTGGCTTGGGCGTAGTTGAAGTTAAAAGTGTCATCATTGTAGAAGTAACTCTGGAAAATAAGCCACACAGACAAAACCCAAATAAATGAAACAAAAACCCCTCCTCCTATGGTATAACAGTAAAAAAACATTAAAAATCCCCCCCCCCCCCAAATCTGAGTCAGACTATATCAAGACAATGGGAAGGAAAAAGAAAAACCCACATTATGAACATACAGCATTTATAAACAGTGGGTAGAAAATTATGGACTGGCTTTCCATCCTACATTCGTGACTACAAACACAGCTGGAACATTCCACAGTGGTAACCATGAGAGATCTGGAGAATGCTCCAAGCTCAAAATTGCTGTGGCAGCTTTTGTGGGTATAATTTTCACTTTGGGCATGTGAAGACACGCTGTGCTGCCATGGTCTCTTTCACCTCCCAAGCACTTATTTCACCACTAGGGTGGTAAATAGGCAGTTGACTCCCTAATGGCTTAAGGAGATGAACAGTTTGTTTTTTCAAGACTTTTCAAGGTTCAACAAGAGATCCTGTGGATCTGGTTATGTGACAGATGCTAGTCTGACACACTGGATCACATGATGGAGGTGGAGCCACAATACTGCGCTGTAGCTCAAGCCTTGCTTACAGGCACCCTTCTCTATCTGAAGTGCAACACTAAGTTTTTGTCTCCCATAATATTAGACTGGATACACCTGGTTAATGACAGATGAGGTTGATCTAGCTGTATCTTTTCTGAAAAGCTGCACGGGCCAAAGCAGGAAATATAACTCTAGGTACAGGTTAGCCCGACGTTTAGGTTTGACCCAAATAGCTTAGATTTGATCATGGTCAGATGCCCAGACTGAAGTATAACTCAGATGACCAAAAGTCAGCTGGGTGTGTTCTGCATTCAGCACTGTCCCACACTGCTGCACCGGTAGACCTGGTAGAGGTAAGGTGGAACACAATATCACAGCTACAAGCGTGGATGGGATTGAGGATCCCTGCCCAGGGGAGGTGCAGTGCTTATGAAAGAGTGTGGCAAGAAGCAGGGTGGTTTATCCACTATAGTTACTGCAAGAAAAGCCTTCCTGGGTGCAAAATAGCAAGGTGTGTAGAGGAAGAAATGTTTTTCCTTATATAGCATCTATAAAAGAAACAGAACTTGTGTAGGGAGATCAAACTTTTGTTTTGTTCCCTCATTAGAGTAAGGAGGAGGTAAAAAGCATCATTGGGACTGTACAAAAGATATGGGAAGCAAGGGGCAAAACCCTTTCGCAGTGCTATCTTCTTTCATGACGTAGGGACACTTGAGGAACCTCTTCTCTTCCCTGTCGCAGCCAGTCAACAAAGGGTACTGATCCAGCCCACCCACATACATCAAGCTAGTGCTTTGAGAGGAGAGGTGGGGGGTTGCCACCATTTGCCGGATGTCTAGGTTTCACCCAAATAGTCTGTTAGGGTCCAAAAGCTGGCAGATATATTCAGCTATGTGAAAGCATGAGGATGAACCAATTGGGTCAATCTTAAGCTCAGTTTGTGAAAACATTTCAGTACCCTTAGGGTGAACTAACTGGTTTCACCATATGAGAATTACAACACTTTACTGTATTCTTCCTCAGTGATAGTTTCATGTGAATCAGCACAAGTCCCAAGTAAAGCAAAGCTGGTGAGCAAGATGCTAGTTTTACTGCATGAATAGTTTCTTCTGTTCCAATAGGCTCCACTGTATTTTTTAATTAAAACAGAAAAGAAACTCTGTCAGCAACCAAACTAAAAACCTGTGTCATTCTATCCTGGTTGTATTAGTGCTAGAGACCAGACCTGCTGCAAAAACAAAACGAGTAGAAACGAACTAGTGCTGCTGATAGTGCAACACTTTCACAGCAGCTAGATGTTTTGTTTCCTCCTCCTCTTTTTTTCTTTTTTTTTTTTAAACCACATTATATGTACTGGACTTCACTCCTTTGTGGTCTTTTTAGCAGTCTTCAATCTTTTCATAAAACTGACTGTGCTCCGAGTGATGTCCATTTTAACGAGATGCCTAGATACCCAGTTGAACAATGAAGCATTCCTTGTGGCCAGAACTCTGCTGAGCCTGAATTAGCTTGTCTTGTCAGTTGATCCTCAGTGTTATAATGTCACCCCCAGGGCAGCTGGCAACACATTTATAATAAGGTGTCCTTTGAGACATTCTCATGCCTAAAGCAGTTTTAATCAATCATGGACAAAGGTGGTGTTTCCTGAGAGAATATCCTGCAAACAATCTTCACAAAGTGCACAGCTCCACTTAAAGAGCTGCAGAGATTCTACTGAAGTTTATTCCTGTGAATGAAACACAAAGGTGACTGTAAAGCCACCTAAACCTTGCCTGTAACATGGTACAGGAAGAATTGTTTGCATTCCTGTGACCTGAAGAGAAGGGGAATGACCTAAGTAAATCTGAGCAGTGGCTAGTAGCAGCTAAAAAATGATGAGAATGATCAACTACTTCAAAAGGACCATGCAAGGAAAGTGGTAGTATACTGAAAACTTTTGTCCTTAGTCCTTGCTAATTATCAACCGTATTATGTCTCCAATTACCAGTATTTATGATTCCCTTCAAGAATTTAACAAATACATATTTTACTTAAGCTTGATAATTTTGCAACTTGCTAGATACAATCTATAAAACCTTCCAAACTTGCAACCTCGACCCTACTTTGAACTATGACAATGAATTCCATAAACCAACTGTGTTTTGAGAGGGACAAAATGCATTTTCTTGGAAAAGACATTGTGAATTTGCTGCAATTCCAGCAAGCTGTATCGTGTCTTCAGCCTCTCCTAATACAAATGGAGTTTTCATATCTAACTTGTTTATTCTAATCCTCATTTTGTATCATTTTATTTTCTTAACTTCCCTCTATAGCAAATGATATCTTCTAAATCTCTTAAGACAATATTTCAATTTCTAATTATGGTCTGATTCATGTTTCTTTCTGCATTTGAGGGGGGTACTGGCCAGTATTTCAAGTAAGAGTAGACCACTGTGCAATGAAAGGCATGAATCTTTTTTCATACTGAATTTTCTTTACTTGGCTTAATATTTTGTTTTGCCCTTATAAATGCATTCACATTACAACTGTGAAAACCGAGGGAATATTTAAAAAAAAAAAAGTCTTACCTTTGCCTAAATAAGGGTCACATCAAAACAGATATATGGCTACTGATGCCAAAGGCATGTATATGTGGACAAGTCCAGTTTGCCAGCTGAGATCCACTTACATATGTTATAATGTGCAACAGTAGTTCTGCATACTTCAAGCAAAACAGCTACGATTTTAAGACAAAACATCCAAACAAACAGTCAGATAACCCTTCCCCTCTCCTATGCACACATAATAAAATTGTTTCTCCCAAATCCAACAAGGTAAGAATGCTCCTTCTTCTAGCTGATAAATATAGCAGGATTGAAGGCTTGCATACCTGTACCTGTCACTATTTCTGCCTCCCTCCTGGCAGTTTTTAAACATTAGACCTATCCCTCACCTATATTTCCCCCTGCATGGGCTCTTACTAACATCTTACAAAATGACACCAGCTATTCTGTGCTCTTCCTTTTCCCTTCACATTTTTTTTCCAACCCTTCCTACAACACTTTCCTTTATACCCTCACAGACACAGAATTGTCTCACCTAATCCCCTTCCCTGTAGGGCTTCTCTTGCCTCATGACTCTGACCTATCCTCTGATCACTCTATTGCTCACTTTCACCCTCTTAATTTCTGTTTAGTGCCTTGTTCATTTCTGGCTCTTTCCTTTACAAACACTAGTCTTACTTTCCAATATCAATGACAACTCCATTTGCCTCCCCAGATGCTACTGTTCTCCCTCTCTCATTTGTAAGCTTTCCCACATACCTTGGAGGTGGTGAGTAATCGCATTTAACTTTAACCTTTTCAGGTTAGAACTAGTTGTTTAAGAACTTTTTAAAGGAAATGGAAAGAGCTGGGCATTTCTATGGGATGACTCATTCCATTCTAAGATAAGTATAAGAAATTCATAGGATGAATTCTCCTCTGGAAATTACCACCTGCCTCTGTTGGCTATAGACTGAGACCGGATGATCAGTTATAACTAGAAATCTGACTTTTAGATGGCTCAAGTTAGGCAAAACAAATCTCACTCTTAGTTTCCAGCTCTCCTTTTCTTCAATTACACACACACTCCAATTTGGAGTGGTGGTGGTGGTGGAGTGTCTCTTCGTTCCACTACAGTGGAGCCATTCCAGTGCCTGCAGCCACTTGGGATTTCTTCAATAACCTCTTTCCAGAAGAAGTTTAAAAACACTACACCTTCATCATTTGTCACCCATCAGCTGCTTTTGGCGCCATTACAACCACACGTTTTTCTTTAGATCTCACCCTCCTTAGAACACTGTAACTGTGCTCATCTCGTGTATCTCCCTAATAATTTCTTTTTAGATTCTCATTCCTCTTCCTACCAAATATAGAGTTCTTACAACTCTAGTTTCAAATCACTGGAACAAGACTACAATCACTTCACTCTATAATCACACTCCAGCCTCTCTCTTTTTCCTCACATCTGACTTGTAACTGGATATCTGTAAGTTGTACCCATTTTATCCATTGAATACTGGTGATCTGATAATGCTGCATTATGGTAACTGCAAACTCCTTCTCTTACTTTGAAAAATGCAACATTGCCTGCAGGGTACCACTCAGATTACTTCTGCAAAAATAATATTCTTAGCTTATTGCTTTGGTAATACTGCCCTATCTTAGCCCTTCACAGTGACTGCTTTCCCTGTAAAATATAAGCGTTATTACTTTCAGAGTCCTTCGTGTCCTATCTTCCTTACACACTCTTGTTCATTAAAATGTTGCTCCCAGTTATTAACCAGTGACACTAATCTCCATCACTCATTTGATAAATCTTAAGAGAACATGTGGGTTTTTTCTTCCATGCTGCCCACTCCATAAATATCCACAAATTTTTTCATTGTCTTCCTTTAATTATCTTCCTCATCTTCTGTGATGCCACCAGAAAGCCTGATAATGGCTAAATTGCAAGTGTGATGAGACCATCATGCCCACCATGCTGCACAATGCTATCTTATAAACTGCTGCTTTACTTTTTGATCCATTTGCTGTACTGACCAGTTATGTCCCACTGTCATTCCTGTGTTTTGTTGTTACTGTTGTGTTTCTGTATCTTTTTATGTTTACATAGTGTCTCACACACTACAGTCTAATTCCGTAAGTAGTGATTACATGCATTAGAGTACTACTACCAATACTAAATAATAATACTAACCTTGACTGAGTTGAGGTAAATCAGGACATTGGCAAACTGTCTAAGAAGAAAGAAGCAGGAGGACATGCACTGTCTCCCTGGAATGGTATCTAAAATTCAAAAGAGAAATGCAGATTTGTAGAACTTAACAATCACATGGTAGTGGAAATCACTGCCTAGATTGCTGGCAACTATGAAAGCAGCTAACTTCTAAAAATAGCGTAACTTGCCTTTTCAGGCAAAGGACCACACTAGAGGTTAGAAAAACTATTAGATCATCTTGTCAACTTTCTCTGCAGCATACAGTAACTATTGCAAGACTGTCTTCAGCAGCAAATTCTACAGAGACAAATTGTTTAAGTAATAGGCCTTTTCCATGACACAATTCATGTTACATAATTTTACCGTGAATTATTCTTACTTTTAGGAATTGACACTTGATACAAAGCCTGAGTTTGTTATTCTAACCTCATTAGCCTTTTTTTTCTTTAAAATTACACTTTTCAATTATTCTGGACAAAGAAGCTCTACATATTTTAATTTTAGTTCCAGTAAGAGAGTAAGCTTGATACATGAAAATATTGATATAAAAAATTTAATACATGCACAGGAAAAATAGTTAGTGAGAAAATACAATATGAAAATTAATTTCCATGCATTTGGGATTACCACATTGCTCACAAGTGGTAAAGCCATAAATAAGTTAGGCATATCAGTTTAAATGAGCATCAGTAAACTTTGCTGCTGTCTGTGTCATCATAAATTTTGCTGCCATCCTATTATGCTGTCATCTACTCTGAAATTGCAAGCTGGGTTACTGAAAAACTGTTTCAAAGCTTTTTGAGAGATTCTGAAGTAAGCTTACTAGGACTAATTTCTGTTAGACCCAACCAGCAGAGATTGGTCAGAGATGGATGAACCCAAGTAGCAGCTGGGAAAGCATAAACACAAGTGATGTCAAATCACTACTATTTCACTAGGTCAAATGATCATTAGATAGCATGCTGCTCTGTGCAGTTTGGTAAGGTGACAGGAGATAAGATCCTAAGGCTACCTACCAACAGCCCTGAAGTAATCTGCTCCTGTAAGTTAGTTAGCATCATTCCATCCACACTAGAAAATTAAAATATCTTTCCTGTATATAGAAATTTCATGTATCTGAAGAATGACATTTTGACTCCATATCACAGCACAAAATATAGCATTCCACTGTAAACTTGTACATTCTCCTTTAAATAAGGTAGGATAGTAATTATTCCTGGAAAGCACTATATAAGATCTCAAATTATATTTCAAAGGAAAGCAGAATATTCTCATTTTTTATCTTTTAGCACTAGGAGATACTGAGCTTGGATGTCCTGTCATTTCTATACAGAGACAATCCATCCTTATCTATGTCTGAACCACATCATTCAGCTCTCCAACTTAAGAAAATTATTTGGTTATTTGTGAAGTGTTCACTTGGGAGCAGAAACTGGCCTGTATATTTAACTGTCCTTTTTTACATGCAGGCATACTTATCATGGCACATATATGCCTTGACAGGACAGTAACAGAAACAGTTTTCCTCAGCGCTCCTCTGCTTTTTTTGTTGTTGTTGTTGTTGTTGTAATGAGAACGTAGGTACCTCAAAAGTGCTCCTTTTCTCTCACATTCAATTTTTTAAGTTCATAAACTCACGGCAATTTATTTTAAACAAAATTTTAAAAAATGCAAATAAACATGCAAAAACTTAAAACTGAGAATATATTTTCAGTAAAAATTAATCACAGTAACAAAATATTCGAACCATACTTTTCCCATATATGATTGAAGAGTTTCTAAGTTTCAGTATTTATTCTTATGTCCACATTTTGGCAGAAAATTTTGTTATCCCAGCACACCATCCTCCATATACTTTTAGTGAAAGATTTCATTAAAAAAACAAACAAGTAAAACATCTGTAAATCTCATACAACTCAGCAATGAATACTACTAGTGACAGGAAAACTAGAGTTTTATAGTTCTAATTTATCCCATCTGACTCATGCAGGAAGAGGAAAAAGTTCTCATTTTGAAAAATTACTTAGGGTGACCTAAGAATACCTCAAGAAAAGACTGCACAAAGTCCAGAAGAAATGTTTAATTCCTCCCACCCAACACCAGATATGCCTGACTTGGTCCTAAAAGAGGTCCACTGAAAATGAAAGGGGTGCTTTTCTCCATTATGCTTGCAGTGTTTTTAGGGTAGTTCTTAAGACTTACGCTAAGCACCAGAAACACTGCATTTAATGGAAATGTTAATGTTCATTTACTTTCACTAATGTTCGTTTTGCCCCATTTCCTCCTTAACATATCTCAGAAATCTGATCTGTTTAATTTTCCATCCAGTTCAAACCCTGGAAGAAGAGCATAAGAATTAACTATAAAAATCTAGTTATATCCTTCTTTGTAATGCCAGTGCCATTTCATGTCATTGGGATTAAGAATTTTTATTAAACTTAAAAAAAACCCAGCAAACCAAGCTGCTGTTCTGGGTGTTATTTATTGCTGTTAGAAGTTGAATATTGACCCCTACTCTGTAAGTGCTTCCTTTTTTTTTTTAATATTTGTTTTCAGTGTCCCTACTCCTCTTAAAGTACAGAACTTCCAACATGAGATGAAATGTATACATGCATTGGAAAGGACTTTCATATTAACTCTGTTTGCTCTATGTTCCCTGAACCTCCATGCCAGAGATCTAATTAAAAACAGCAAAGGGCTTAACTGATAACTCCAAATGACTTTACAAATGACATTGTATTATTCTGCAACTGTCCGTTGCTGCTTTTGTCTTAAGGCAGTCATAGGACTTCTACAGTTAACAAAAGCAAGTCAGAAAGACAGGACCTTGTTTTGAAAAAATATTCCACATCTTCATTTTAATCCATTAATTTCTGATAAGCCACATTAAAATCAGGAGCCTTGTAGGCCCAGTTGTGAGCAAAGACACAGCATAGGATTTGCTCACTCTAGCAAGCACAACCTACTTTTGTATTATAAATCTGTGAAGCAGCCAAGTAACTTGATAAAGATCTTAGACAACCTAGTGGTACTAGCTCCTTGCAAGGACTGGCCCAGTGGGAAGTGCTAAAGCATGACTTACATGCTTGAATAGCACAGCTGGCTACTTAGCTAAAGCCCAAGTATACAAACAGCAAGAATTCTGTTCTCCATTCTAAATCCAGCAAAACAAAGGCAGCAGGTCAAAAATGACCACAAATATACAACATAGTGGCTAATATGCTAAGTTACATAAGAACATAAAAATGATCATATTGGATCCAAAGTCTATCTGGTTCAGAAGCTTGCCAAGTAAGAATATACAGCTATAGAAAGAATATATTCTGATTTCACATATAATACATGCTGTGGTATGTAATGCCACTTCCTTTGAAGTTTCTCCCAGCTTCCAACAATCTGCACTGAGGACATCCTAATCATTAGTGAAAAATTTGTGTTATACAGCCAATGGATTTTTTTCATTTCTTTATCCCTTCTGGTTCTTGCAAGATTCTATATCAAGTAAGTTGTGTTATGTGAAAAAGTAATTTGTGCTGTTTGTTTTAATTGTCTTGCATGATGATTTTTGTCAATGGTCCTTTTTTTTTTTTTTTTTGTATGGTACAGTAACTGATCCTTCACTATTCCTCTTCTTGTCATTTATGATGGTCTGTATCACGAACATAACCAAACTCAGTCATCATTTTCCAGGCCATGTATCCTCTATTTAATCTCTCCTTGTTCAAGAAGCTATTGCCTTTCTCTGATCATCCTTGCTATCTTTATTGTACCCTTTCTTGCTCTCTCATATTTTTTTTTTAAATGTAAGAACTAGAACTGCAGACAGTATTCAAAAAAGGAAACCACATCTGTATACAATGACACAGTAATTATTTTTGTTTTGTTCTCTTCTTCCTCATCAATCCCTAAGATTATCTTCAACTCTTCTGATAATTTTGCAAGTATCATTTAAGCCCCGCCACCCCATGTATTACCTCGCATTCAGCAAAGTTAAATTTAATTTGCATATTATTACCCAGCCTCATATATTCTTCCACAGCTTGTTTTCACCTTTCCTACTATGGGTAATTTTGTACCATTGGCAAACCTAGTCATGTCATTATTCATCTCCTATATCTCATTAATTATGAATACGAGCTCTTTCTTTAAAGAAACAAAAGGTTCTCTCAAGTGTTCAAATCAGGTGCATTTTATCCTTTTCACTGTTACTTCACTGAAAATTTTCTGTTAGAAATAAGAAAGGTTATTATGTAGCTTCCCTTCTTGAAATTAGTGCTGTCGAAATTTTTTGAGGTATTTGCTAACACATGGATTTTGAATTTGATTATACTCGGATCACTGTAAGAAAATTAGATTTTCATCATAAAATTTCAAATCAGGTTCTATAGAATCTCTCTGTTGGTCTGGAGTCACCTGTTCACTTGTGTGTTCTCTAAGAAAGATGAAAACTTAGCATTTAAAAATTCATTCTCTCTATCATGCCATGTCATTGCATTTACTAGGTCAATATGGGCAGAATAGAAGTATCCAACTATTATTTAATTATCTTTCTATATAAAATCTCTAACCTCTTTAATATGCCAGTCACTGTTCCCATCCAGGCTGGCTAGTGAATAATTTAGCCTCAATATGATGAGTTTCATACCTGAGCATGTAATTTAAAACAATTTTATGTTACTCACTGATAAAGAAAAGATATTTACTTTATTTTGAGAGAAGGTTTCTATAATGTTAGAACAATTTCTCCACTGGCATCATCTATTTAGTAATACCCCATTGTAAATTAAATAGGAACAAAATCCTACATGTTACCTTCCTCCTATCACATTTGAAAAAATTATTTTAGGTTTATAGTTTCCTCTTCTAAAACCAGGTGCTCCACTTTATTAATCTTCTTGTAAAACTTCTAATTTTTGTATAAAAACACTTACATGTTTGGTCTTCACGTGTTTGTTTTTTGTTATGTCCTATCTAAATTGAACTCTGTTTGTCTCTCCTATTTCCTATCTACAGTTTGTTGACCTCTACCTGTCCTTCATTTGAGGATACAAAAAACCCCTCACACTATTTTGCCTTTAAAGAAGGAGTTACCTTGAACGGTGTGCTTTTCTGTGTCTCAGCTTTCTCCCGCAAGTTTTTAAAAAGATGACAAAGCAGTTTTTACATGGAAGTACCACGAGCATGTTTGCAATACTAATGTTTCCATTTACCTTTAGTTGAAACCGATCGCTCCCATAGGCTCATTTTTTTCAATTAACCCACCTTCCTAATCAGACTACATTTCTGGTCCCTTTATTTTTTTTCCTCAACCATACCTCTCAGCCTCTGTATCTTGTTTTGCATATGGGTTTAAAAATATTTCACAGTACAATTAAGACTTTTAGCTTCCTAACAAGTTCAATTCTGGTTTTGGGCTATATCTTCACTATACATCTTTTCAGGATAACTTTTCTCAGACTATCTCTGTATTATTTTTATGCACGTGTGCTATGGTCACTCATCACACCTGCATGACTGTTATGGGCATTAAGAGGTCTACCATCATTGTATCAGTCATCCTGTGACTTTACTGGCATCACAAACCCAGTTAGCTATATGCCCACTAACTGAGTCTTCCACTACTACAGTTCATGCTGCTTCTTTCTATAGGCTGGGATCCCAACTCCAAAGGGATAACCTCAATGCAAAAGGAATATGTTAGCGAAACCTCATCTATGGAACCACTTCCAGCTTTCCAACGTGAAGCTCTCTGCTGCACAATCTCAATAGTACAAGGGCTGCAAGGGGAACAGAATGGCTCAACGGTGTTTCTGAAAGTTTCATCAGTGCTGCCACTCTGTCTCTTGAGCTCCTCTTTAGTCACCATGGACACAGGAGACAGCATTCTGTCTCCGAGGACCATGAGCTGTCTGCACCATAAACATGCATAAGTAACCCACCTAAAGAAATAGTTCTAGTGACAGTGCCTACAAAGGAAACTGGGAAGCCCCATTTCGGCTGAATTTCTGCGTTCCAACTACCGGCTTTTTTGATTTGAGATTTTTGGTTTTACTTTGGCAAGGGGAAGGGAAGACAAGGTCTTGTTTTGGTCTATTATTGAATAAGTAAATATTGAAAATATATTGATTTTTTTGTTGGGTTTTATAATGGGTTTTTTGATTCAACCAAGAAGTTAGTCCCAGAGCCTCCATTTCTCTCTGTAGCCAAATTCCTCTTTATGTTTTTATCACCCTCGGCTTCAGGGCACACTCCATGCTAGGACTCTATGTACTCGATAGGCTTTCATTAGCAGTCCTATATTTGTACCTGCGAGTGTCTGTACCTGTGAGGTTTCAGCCACACACTTCATCTAATTAGACTGTGTCTTCTGCTTCTATAATGGGGATTATTAGTCAAAGGCAAGCTGCCACAGCATCTACCAGTGAAGACTAGCAGTTTGCAGTATAGCCTCTTTTCCAGCCAAATTCGTATAGTAAGGTTTGGAATCAATTCAGCCTTCTAATTTAAACAGGCAAATTTGTTTTGGACTGTAAATTAGGCTTTCTGTTACTCCTACTATAGCAACAAAAATCCTAGCAATAGTCATGCTAACAGTCAGCAGTTAGACAAAGATACGATGGTATATATTTGGATATTGTAAGAAGGATTACATAATGGAGAGAGAACATTTCAAACATACCACATTCGCTGGCTGATTCACCCACCAACTGGAAGAACTGCTGAGCAATTTTCAGATGATCTCTCTGGGAGAGGAAAAAAAAAACCAAATCCAACATGAGTTCCAGAGTTGATGCTACAATACACAGTGAAAATACACTCAGGAACAGATGAGGAGCAACTAACAGACAAACCAGGGCTGAAGTAAAAACAGAAAAGGTAAATGTGCCACTGTATGTGCCTAGATATACAAGAACACTGTAGAAAGCAAACAGGGTTTTTTGGAAGCAGGACAGGGAAGCCAAATTCAGCTTGATTTATTGTTAGGACTAGCAACAGAGATTTGCATTTCACTCATTCTGTACTGAGTACTGTATGGAAGAATATTAAGAGACTCGGAGATCTTGCAATCTAAATGAGAAATGACTGCTTGTTTCACTCCATCCCAGTCCCTACAGATCTGTTCACATTCTAGTGTTGGAGAAGCTGAAGAACCTCATAGGCTTCACTCACTGAGCCCATTTCTTGTCCAAGTGCTGCATTTACCACTCCTTTGAGGATGTACTCCTGAAAAAAAAAAAAAAAAAAAAGGTAAAAACGATCAGAGAAGACAAGGTGAAGATTTCAGGAGACACGTAACAGCCTACGTGTACATTATTTTCTTCCTAAATTCAACTCTATCCCAACTCAGTTTAATAGGTAGCTGGTTGCTATAATACTATGACAGTGCTTCAGTAGTACAGTAGTACAAAGTTACCCCCCAGAAATCCATTCTACTTGCTAGCTAATCACTTCTGCTAAATATGTGGGATGCAAAGGGGTAGTGTGTTTTCTGATGTCCTATGCTCAAAGATGGTGCACCAGAAGGAACACTATAACATACTGTCATGCCCTCTTCACCACCATATGACCAATAACCAAGTGCAATGTTGTTATATTAATGCACAGATCCCACTTCATGTATGCACATTGGTTAACCATAACCACTAACATCCTTGCTCCAAAATGCATAGCATTTCTCATCAGGGCAAAAATGTCAAGAGGTTTGTGCTCTGTGGTCATGTTACTCGACTGAAATTCAGAATAGGAGTAGAGTACCCTGTAATCTCTACTATGAGATACAACGATAGTTTATTTCTTCTCTAAGCAAGATTTTCTCAGCATGTAACAGACTCATTTCTCTTTTTCTAATCTTATAATTAGGAGTTACAGCTATAAACCTGTTTTAGTAGGTAGTTCTGATAAACCTGGATAGCCCTGTCACAGACGCAAACATGGAAAAAGAGAAAGAGACATCTACACACCAACAATGGAGTGCGAGGAAACAATCTGAGAGTACTAGCCAGCATGCGAAGTAATCATTTTAGCATACCAACTCTCTTACAGATGCCAAAGTATTATCCTATAGACGTCATGACAAAGAATAAATTTGTGAAGAACTGAAGGATGATATACGAGTAGGTTTGCAAGTCTTAGCAGGGAGTTCCTTCCAAGTGTCAGTGAGAAAAATGGAAAAAAAGCACAAAGATTCTCATTTAAAAATGTGATCAAGAATGATATGTTATTTATATTAGGCATGTATATGGGGAAAACGGAGGCTAAAGGACCAATAGCTGCCAAAAACTGTTTAATTAAGTCTTGCTATACTGAAAAACGCAAGAAGTGAAAAGCAACAGCAGAAGATACTCAGCACAGAATCACCAGATCCGTGTTCTTGAGGTTTTCCTTTTCCCTCCCTCCATCTAATCCTCACACAGACTCATGAAAGGTCCCTTTCATGCCCAGCTATGTGACCTTTGGAAAATAAACTGCAAAGAGGAATAAATCAGACACTAAAGATATTGGAACAGCCACAAAAGAAAATTACAGTAGCAGCTAAGGGACACTATAGCTTTCACTCACTGCAGCTGAAGTGAGATGGGATTAGAAAAGACCTATTATTCAAATTGCTTAATCTAATCTAGCTCATTTTTATTGAAATGGCTTCAGGACAAACTACATGAGCATCTGAGCTAGCAGATCTGAGGGATGGTAACCATCACCAGGGCAGAAATGAGAAGTATTTGTAGTTGGAAGAGGGCTTTTATCTATGCACTAATGGTCAGCTCCCCAGAATCAAGTCTGCACACAACAGAGCTATATTCTTAGTTGACCCCAGGTGGTACAATAATAAATATGCTAAGTACTCATATATGCACATATATAATACTTTATGCATGCACATTAAGCCTATTGTTGCTAAAAGGATGGAAAACACAAGAGTTTTAAGAGTGGGAATGAGGCAAGCTGTCCTCAGGATACCAGTTTTGTATGTGGCAGATTTCATACCAGTTTACAACCTCTGTCTTTATGTACCATGATATCAGTTTCCAATTACCTGTGGAGCTGTAGGTTCCAGGTCCTTAATCAGGTTATAAGCCTCCTGCACATCATCTGAAATACCAGACGTTAGAATGCATAACAACCCATAGCACACTGTGTTAGAACAAGTCACTCATCCTCTACAACATTCCCCAATAGTCACAGACTAAGAAATAAAGCATTTAGACAGGAGGAGAAAGGTAACTATAAATCATTGTGAATTTATATCACAATGGTGATGGTTTTCTAGAACTCAAATAACAAACACGGAGTGAGTAATAGCTTCTTTATTACTACAATTTTCCTAATAGAGATGACTCGGCCCCCTTATTCATAATCCAGTGGCTGCCTTCTCAATGGTACAAGGTCAAGAGAATAAATCCATTGTCTTCCTGTCTTTTCTCTTCTCATATTTATTTACCCCTCAAGGAGGACAGAGTAACATGATTCTGAAGGGAAACTTCATCTTTTCCTTATCAATATTTCAAAATCTGTCCAGCAGCTCTTACCTGATCCTAATTCTAACAAGCAAAAAGCACTACTAGTATAGAAGCTGACATGTAAATTTTGAATTCAATAAACAACTTCCTTCCCACCCAAAAAATAAGTAAACTGAAAAGATCCTAAACTTTACCTAAATCAAACAAAGGTGTTGGCACTATGGTCGGCTTCATAAACCAACCTAGTGAAGATGCCCTTTTTACTAGCAAAATTTTGTTAATACAGCATTATGCCAGCTGCCCATAAGAACAAACCTTATCAAACAAAACTTTTTTTTGCTAGTACATACCATCCATACACTGTAGGGACAGTACTCCAGGGTGACTTAAGGCATCATACATTGGAGCTGCCAGGCTCCTTTCCAACCCTTGTGCTTTCCTACCCATTCCCTTGAGCAGTCACATAGTAAGCCAGCACAAAGTCCTAGACTAGCCAAAAGGAATCACTTTTTTCTTTTTTTTTCTTTCTTTTTTTTTTTTTTTTTTTTTTTTTTAATAGAAATAGGTTTTTTGTTAGTTTTGGCTAGCTCAGCTCCCCACCACAACCAAAAAAATGACAGCAGCCCTTACTTTCATCAGTATAGACCATTAACACAGAACTATGCTCTTCAGGCTCCAACAGAAGCCCCTAGCCGCTCTCACTGGAGCAGATTACAACTGGATACCTGGCCCCAAACCCTGCTAAAGTCACTACCTTACCTTAAAGAGCTGAAAAAAATGGGATGCATGTTTGTGCTTCAGTCACTCCAGTTCAAAGCATGTCTTAAGACAAGCCTACCTTTATTGGAGACCTTGTAAGTTTTGGAGGGACAGCTGTAGTCATTAGAAGTAATGACTTCTCACATTCTTAACTGATGCTGCTACACTACCAAGACTTTAAAATGGAAACTTAGCCGAACCAGGAAAATAGTTTTAATCCTAATTTCTCTTGGCCTCCTTTATCAATGTGCAACTCATTTGCATACCACAGTGAAGAACAGAACCTAACTAATGAAAATTACTGCAAGGTTGACAGCAAACGAGTAAACAAGACTGATTTTTAAGTGATGCAGATGTACTTTGTTTCTGTGTTAGTAGAACTGAATTTGAAACATATTATTGTTAACAATATTATTGGGCAAAATACTTGGTAACAATACAAATATTACCTATAGTGATATTGGCAACAATAATACTGGACATAGGGTGAGATGAAAGGCAGTGGACACAAGGTGGAACAACAGATGAAATTCTGACCAACCTGATCTAATTGGACCTGCCTTGAATAAAATGTGCTAGAGATCTCCAAAGGTCCCTTCTCACTAATAATGTGATTCTGTTATTTACCTAGAACTCTCTAAATTTATACAATATAAGGCAGGTGATAGTGTACTTTTAATAATATACAATTGTGACCATTTGAATTTATTTGATAATGTATATCTAATTTACAAGCATGAGAAAATTTAAATAACCTTATTGTCATTGTCTAGTGTCAAATAAAACAAAATAGGGATAGAATTGCCATATTTTGTGAAGACTGTGATGTTTGCAGATTACCAAAATCAGATTAATCAGACTTTTATTGCATGGTATTAGCCACAACAAGAATTTCTATAACTGCTAATAGTCATGACTAGTGGGGTATTCGAAAATTTGTCACAGTTTGAGTTGAACTGAAATGAGGCAGTGTTTCAATTGCACATGCAGACAAAAGAAGCAGTCCTGGATACAACTGAGCACCAAAGAGAAGTTATTCCAACTACAAAGATTAAATCTCACCAACCTTGTTGATTACAAACCATAAAGATGTTACTCAGAATCAGTATCTGAAACTCCAAGTCAATTACACTATAAAAAGCTCACAGAGCTTTTTCAAAGTACTGTGTTCACATATGGTCAGATTCCCCGATGAACTAACTGTGATGCAAAGAATATAAAGTTGGTGTGACTTATTTCTGCCAGCAGAATATATCTCCTTTTTTCCTGGTAATTTTCCAACATTTCAGAAAAAAATCGCAGGCGTGGACTTCATTTATTTAAAAAGTAAGAAAAGACATTTTTCTGCTTTCAGATGCTCTGGTCATCTAAATGTAAAGGTGACAAAGCACAAGGCTTCTAAGAAAGCCGAGAATGGAAAAGCAATCATCACATCACCTTATATTAGATGACTGCAGTTAACACCTAGTCATCACTCAGCCAGTCAACCCACTGTTGAATAAAGGAACACAACGGGAGAATAGGAATGGCTCTGAAACTAAACTCAGATAAAACACAAAGGAGTCAGGCAACTAAGGAGAGAAACAAGTGAAAAATCCTTTTCAACTGATTCTGGCTACCTACCTGCATTCTTTAAGAGCTGTAAAGTAGATTTGGAATGAAACGTCTTGTTCACAAACTGTAGCCATGTTCGCAGTCACTTTGGCTCATATTCTGTTTGTATTTACAGAAATAGTCGTCCTTGCATAGGACATATGCCTACCATTCACACATATTCAGGCAGAGGAGAGGTCCCCTCACTGTAAACGTATAAACACCACCATCCCCAAAGCCATCTCCCGCGACCCTAGAACCTCCAATACTCTGCTGAAGTAGATTTATTTGACTGCACACAATTAAAGCCCTTCTCCAAGCCATGGGAGCTCTTACATCACTATTTTCCAGAGGAAGAGAAAATTAAATAAATTACATTTTACTGCAAAGGAAAAAAAGGCATTTCATTGAATAGTCAGTTGAGATCAGATGAATGAAAGTTATCCCTGAAGCTATGAAAGAGCCAGAGAAAGGTGTATTTACCTTGCCGGAGATAGTAAATCACAAGATTCAGTCTTGCCTCAGGAATAACATCAACCAGGGGAGGCAGGATCTGCAAAGCCCCTTCTCCTCCTCGGAACACCACCTGCAGAGAAAAGCAGCATACTGATAACTGTGTATCAAAATCTTGTCTATGATCTCTTAATTCAAGGAAATTAATCCTTAAATTCCTATATTAACAGTAGGAAAAGGTCAGTGGTACTGGCATTAGCATAATCCCTACTTTTACATAACTCTAGAATGACAACGTGTGAAAATCTTTATTCTGAGGAATATAAAGTATTTAATCCATCAGTAGAGATAAACTTATTTCAGCTTTTAGCAGCTCAAAGCAGTGATACGTTATATATCAAAGATTTTAAAGAACAATATGGTCTGAGACAAGACTGAGGGGAACACATACAGAATTATAATTTGCTTATGATGTATGCATATGAAAAAATTGGGCTAACAACTCTGCATTTGTTTAGAATGCCACAAGATCCTAAATGATCAGGAGCAGTTGATTCTTTATACTTCAGTTTCACATGACAGTTTCTCCAACAAAACCTAACATATTTATTCAATAAATCACTGGCAAAAAGACCAACATTCAAAATAAAGAATGTTAACTTACAAAAGTCCTGTATGAAAGCAGTTTAAACTCTTGGGGAAAAAAAGTGTTAGCTTGTTGTGACTGCTCTTGGAAAATGACAAAGCAAGCAACTGCCCATCATTAAATAAAAGCAATGCACTGTTACCAGTTGTTCAGCAAAGAAATAAAACCACTGCAGGAAAAGTAACAGGTGATTAGTGACTCTTTTACTGTGGAACACCCAAGTATTTTGGCTTTTATCAGCATCTTCTTCCCTATGAACTGAACTCCTTGTTAAGTAATTTTTGGATGAAGACCATTTTCCCGAGCTATCTTAATTCCATTCACATTGCTGTCATACTAAATAAGAGTCCAGGGTCACGCATTCTGACTTGTTTCTACAGTGTCCTTACTGACCAGGCTCCACAAAATGTCTTGCAAAGGTATACTTACAGGACATAAATTATTTTAATATGCCTTCAGGGGTAAAAGCAACAGCATTATTATTTTCTTGACACAGTCTCAAACTGACAGGAAAAATTCCAGGGGAAAAAAAAAAATACACTTGATGGCACATTAATTATACAGGTAGAATTTCTGGAATGGGACTTACATGGCAGCAGAGATTCAATCGGGTCTGCAATTCCCAAAATATTCCATTTTATGAATCATCAAGAAAAGCTCTACAAATGAGTGCAGTTCATGTTAAATCCAAGAAATACATTACTCACCAGGTTGTGCTTAATGAGCTCCTTGCCAAACTCAAAAGATGGTGAGGTGCTGTCTGTTAAGTTCTTGAGCTCTGCCTGGAATTACATACATTCTAAAATTTTAACACGAAACCAAAAAAGCACACAAGCATAAATGGAGCTTCATATGAGCCCAAAAGCTGACAGAAAGACATCTCCAGCGGTGGAAGATTTTTGCCTTCCCACTTCTTTGTGATGATTTTTAGCAATTGGATAATACATATAGACACAAGGTCAAAAGTGGACTGGGAAAACTGTTAAGACCACTGTGCACACATGTGGACAGATGGCTTAATACCAGGGAAACCGAAATAGGTGACATTCCTAAGAGAAGGACACAACGACAAGATAAAGGCCATTATCAACATTACTGATTAAGATAGATAACAAGGAAAAGAAACCTGTACAGAATCTTGAACTAAAATAAAGGTGAACTGAAGGGCCGTCCAATAGATACCTCAGCAGCCTTCCCATTGTAAAGTCGGAAATGGTTACAAGCCTTAAGGTTAAGAGCAATGGTGCTGTCAGGAACTTGCTGAAGATAAACAGCTAGCACTTCCTGTGATACATCATAGTAATCCAGTTTGTAATAGCATAGGGCTACGTATACATTCAGAGCCAGGTACTCCCTGCAGGAAAGAGGATTAAGGAGAACATTTAAATCCCACCAGATAGTTTAACTACAGAACATTAAAATCAGTGATAAAGCTCTCAAATGTCTATACATCTTTTACAAACACATCAAAATCGGTGTTTCTGAGAAAAGCTTAGAGCTTTTAGAGCTCTAGTTTGTTAGCTAAGATTGCACAGATCCAGATCCAGATTCGCATTAGTTTTTTCAATGGCAGCTACTGCAGCGTTAAAGAATTACCTACAAACCTTCTGGTTTGCAAATCTGGGGAATGGCGGCAACTTCACACTAAGGAAATGCACAGAACATGAGCGCTGTATTTGGCCTGGCAGGATAGAATTTTCTATGCAATACATGCAAAGACATTTAATATGCACATAAAACTTGGAAAATATTTTAATGGATCTTTTTTTGTTATACCAAGTACAATTATTCCAAAAAATCCTTGCCATTACAAGCTATCAAGCCAGAAGAACTAGACACAGAAATAACACAGGCATTTGTGGAAACAGTAAGTAAAAGGATAATTGTTACAAAGGTTACTCGTTTAGCTTTGAGTGATTGATTCTACAGGACTTGGAAGTTAAAATGTCCTCCCCAAGCATTACATGACATACACATTATGATGGACTTCTCTGAAGCATTCAAGAGGAGATACTGCTAAAAGATAGCTATGTATTCTGCGACAGCTGTTTCTATTTTATTAAACAATACTTCCAGCCACTTAAGAATTCAATTTGTTCCTTGTTAAATTCTGAACTAAGAACTTGCAGAATATGATAGGAAAGCCATCAACAAATGTCATAGCAGGGTAAATAGAAATGGAAAGAATTTCAGACTTAAAGGAATGCAAGGAACTCTCTACATAAAAGCTGAGAACTGAACCCTTCTTAAAAAGGCTAAGAAGTGAAGGAGAAGTCAATAATCACAAGCAAGGGTCACCAGACTGGCCATCAGAGGGGAAAAAGGAAAAAGACAGAGCAGGTACATAACCATATATAATTTCAGAAGAAGTAAATAACAAAATAAAAAAAAGATCTCAGAAGGAATTACACAAAAACATCACTAAAAGCAAGCAACAGAGAACAGACTTCTTTTTAAACATGCATTTTTCAGTAGTGCTTTACAATGAACAAAATTGAGGGGGCTGCAACTTGTGCACATTTTGTGGTGGGAAAGGGACATAGTAGTTGGGGAAAATTCCTACTTTCAGAAACCAAGCAACTAAACAGAATTCAAATACCAACAGTATCAAAGACACTGCAATAAAGTTTAGAGATGCCCACCGATTATCAAGAAGAATGCGTTTGTAGATATCAATAGCTTCTTGGTAGTGGGACCGCATGTAGTGGATAGATGCCAAGCTAAGCTGATCTTCTGTAACGTCTTGCAGATTCTGGTGAGAGCTCATCAGTTTCTTCTCATCACTGAACTAAAAAGAGTGTGACACATTCTCAGAAGAGTTCAGCGAGAAAAACCGTTTTAATTAGCTGGATTAGTTTTGTCCTTGCTGGCAAACAGCAGGTGATTCATATTAAACATCTGGAAAACCTCTGTTACTTTAAAGTTAATTTAACCAGTGGACAAAGCCACACATTAAGGAGGCAGACCAGTTGAAACTAGGTAAGTGTGAGGCTAAAACTAAGTACATGTTTTCCTTTAATGTGTGATTTAGACATAATTACATTTCACATGCCTTGATGGATAACAGGGGAAGAGCTGAATTAATTATTTCACAAACAGAATTTTGCAACACAAGATTGGACTGTTATTATTCGAGCCAGCAGAAGTTTTGCTGTTTGTTGATCCAAATCTTATTTCGCTTGGATAACAGAAAAACACAAGACTTGCCAACACACAAGCACAAATTTTCACAAGACTTCTTTACAGCAGTAACAAATTCTCTTTCATCAGCTCCTTAAAATTCCAGTATCTTTAACTAAATGGTTTATTTTTAAAAGCATTGCTGTATAGCATGTAACACACACACAAGGATAAAAACAAAGAACAGAGTTAAACATACCCATTACATTTGTGTTATAATAGTAAAATTGAGGCTATTCACCTAATCTGTCTACTCAAATCACTTATTCTGATATCGAAATGTTTATGGTTGTATTTTTTACAAACTTAGGGAACAAAAGATAAGTAATCAATGTAAATCACTTGGCTAAGCAAGTCTTGACAAAACAATGGAGTAGAAAGAACAAATCGACCTAAAACTAGGAACCAGAAACTTTAGTGGGCTGGTTGCCCAAGAAGCTTGGCTATACCACATGAATCAGCTAAAAATGTGCCCTTTAGGTGAACTTAACTAATTATAAAATAAAGACCACACCTCTAGAAGTTAGGATGCCCGCCTCCACCTGAAGACCGTCACCCACTGAGCTTGCGCAGTAAAATTAAAAGATGCTGCACCTTTAAATGAAGACAAGGCACTATACACCAGTCTGCTTTAAGATATAGAATTATAGGCACAGTAAAAGGTTGATAAACAGTGAGTATGGTAATTATGCTAATTTACTATGTATAAATGAATGACTGTTGTAGTGCTGGGTGCACTAGCTTTGCAGGGATATCCCCTAGCACCCCTTGCTGCGCAGAACTGGCAATAAATAGCTAATACTTCAACAATGTGTGTTATTGGCTTGCACACTGGCTGAACGATCCCACAAGCTTTGGGACAACAATTCTAGTGCTTCCCTTTGCAGGTTCTGCTGATTCAACAGTAATTATGAATTTCTCTTACACACAAATTCTATCTTATGTATTCGTTTTTCATCTATCTGCTCAGTTTTCTTCAAATCCTTTTCCTCCCTCTTTCAGCCAGTCACAAAATGATACTCCAGTACAAAGGCAAGAGAAGTTGCTTAACAGAACTAAAGGCAATGGGCTTCAGAGTTTCGCAAAACCGTTTATGTCCAAAGACTAACTAGATGAACTAAGAACTATTCAACTTCTCTTTATCACAGACATCTGTAAGTGTCAGTGTCACTACAAAAATGTTTTAAGATTTCCCTCTTAAACTTAACAGAGATTTAAGTAAAGACAATCTGACATCAAAGCTAACATTCAGGTTTTATACTTTCTTTCAACTCAGTCACTTCAGTAGCACAATATTTGTTAAGTATAACACAGGATGGTAGAAAACCAAATTTAAGGGAAGATAGCTATGTGTGGTAAGTGAAATAAGCATTTAATTCTTGTTGAAATTAAAGTAAATTTCATGTTATAAACAATATGACTTCTTGGATACTGAATGACTTAGGAGGATCAGTAATAGCATACAGACCATTTTGGTCAAATTGCTAAGTATAAGACAGCTGCAAGTTAGGAAAACCTGGCACGCTTCAAAGAAAAAGAAATATAATGGCTTATACATTTCTGATTCTATTCAAGTTCCAGGTTTCTCATGATCAAAAATACCACCAGTTTCCTGTTGTATGACTTATGTGAAGTGTGTTGGTAAGACTTTGCTTAGATACGTGCTGAGGGCATCTATTCTGAGATCATGTTTTCACACTTACTTTCTCCTCCACATTTTAATACAGTAGGGTGGTTATGGAAAACATTTGTTCTTCTGCCACCACAGACATTTGAATTATTCTGCCAGGTTGCCAGCATAAATTACACATTACCAAATTGAAAAGAAAACAAACAATGAATGAGCGAAGAAAAGACATCATACCTTATGTGCCAGGTGAAAGAGTAAACGGTTCTGGAGACGACTCTTAGGTGCTGAAAGGAAAATTCAGTAAGTATCACTGCAAAGAACAACTTAGGGTGTCTCTTTTTTATTTTTAACTCTCCTTCTCAATAGACATGCATGCACCCATATTCTTTCATTAACTAGCCCAAGTACAGTTCTTCACTGACACAGCCTTTGCACGTCATGCCCTGGGGCAGATTCTACCAATTTTAGAGCGGTTTAAAAGCCTTCCTGCTTCCCATCTTCATTCCCTGACATTTCTTTTTAAATCCCTGTTGAAAATAACTTTTCATTGGCCTCCCACGAGCCTTAAAAAGTTTACCAATTGCACTATCATTTCCCTGCAGGGCCTTCTGGATAATTCTCTGGTTTTTTGTGACATGCAGCACAGCATCTTTTACAAAATAAAACGCAACAGTTAAACTCATGATCAAGGCTCCTTCTACAATGTGTCACATTTGAAGTGAGTTGTGATTCATAATTCTAGGAACCTTGTCAGCTTCCAGTGTATTGCAAAACCCATTGTTGCTACCATTTTATTATGTATGCACATTACATTATACTTAGTTCTAATATTTATTCTGTCCTCAGGAACAAAAGGCATGTGAAAGAATCCTGCACTCAGAGAAGATAAGATTCAACCTAAGATATGGGGAGACATTTAAGGGAAACATCTCCTTTTTAGAGCCACTAAAGTTCATGAAATTTCTTGCTCTAGCAGGATTAGGAATACCATTTAACTCACTCCATACGACACAAATTGTTAACTGCAGAGCTTTAAGTCACTAGAGCACGCCTTGTGCTTCACTGAGAGTGATAAAGGTCCTCGTCCAACAGAGCTATTAATTTATTTTGCAAGCAAACTTCCAAAAAGCCTTCCCCTGTTTCCTGTATTTTCTTTAGCGTACTCAGTTAATGAACACTCTCAGTCTTGCTCAGACCAACCAGCTGGCAACCTGTGTTCCACAGAAAGGATGCACATGGAATCTTTACAAAAAGCAGACTTACTTACTGTGTTTATGAGGCCACAGAAGTGCAGAGTTAGCAGAGCAACGGCCTGTAACACAAGGCTATAATTCTTCTGACAACCTAAACCATGAAAGAGGGCTCAAACCACCAAAATGTCTTCCCTCCCTGCCTCCAAGATGGAATTTTCTAGTAATAAGTTAGATTTTTTTTATTTTTTTAAAGCGGTTTAGGGAGAGATTTCCAGACTTCATACTCTTTCTCCACATAGTAAGAAAACTTTGTAACACAGTGGACAATGCCAAAATCCAGGCCATTCTCATCAGGTTGGCTGCGTAAGTCTGCCCACCTACTTCTGATAGGTATAGCAATTATTTCTCCCCTTTCCTCCTTACCAAGCTATGTTATTTAACCATGTTCCTAGCAAAAGAGGACAGTGAATTGTATCTTTAAAGAACTGCTATAACAGAGAAGTCCCCAAAGGCAAAGGCAGTATGAGAGTGTTCTTACAAAACCACATCTTGCAGGGTATTACTAGCAGAGCATGGAGTTGTTAAGAAGCTAAATGGTCTTCAATCTAGGATATATGTGGGAATTCTCATTAGCCTAATTATTAAAGAACAGAAAGTTTTTCTGATCTACAATCAATATTGTATAAGCAGCAGTAGTAGTATAACTGACACGACAGTACATTCTAGAAATTATTTCATCCATTGAATTAGAAAGTTAGAGTACCTTAATCTAAATGCATGTTCTTCAAAATGTTGTCAGCAATGATACTGTGGTAACTCCACATGTGCCCCAGCATTAACTGATAGGTTTTAATATCAAAGTTTAGAAGGGTTGCACATGGACCCCACATGTGCTTTTGTGCGAAACTTAAGCCAACCACAACCACCCTTCACAATTCAAAACATTTGGTCATCAAAGCCTCCAAAAATACAAGCAGGACCGATTGTGGGATTTACACTGAAAATAACATATTGTATAATCACCATACTATGAGTAAAGACACTAATGTTCCTGTTCTGAGTAGGTTTTGTTAGGTTTTTTTTTTGAGTGGGTTTTAGCATTAATTTCACTGTGAAAAATGTGACTTGCAAGCAATACTCCCTCAAGAATCTAACCCAAGGAATTCTTGTTTCACTGGTCAACCAATGACTGCAGTGCTGCCCTCGCAAACCTGGCATCTGATCTGACATCAAAATTATTATTTACTTCTTGGCAAAGCTGAAGGGTTAGTCCATGTTATTTTATACCTAAAAACAGGCAAAGGATGAAACCTGAGTTCTCATGGTGTGCATAGATATATGAAGGGAGAAAAAATGTCCTGCTTCCTAAGATATTTATGATACTATCCATTTGATATTCTTTAAAGTAAGACACTTCTACCTAATGTCAGCCAGAGAAGGAGAGGGGAAAAAACCAAAAAAATACAGTGCTATCGATATAGTAAGCAGAACCATGGAAACATTCAGTATCAGCAGTTTCTTTTCTCCCAGTGCCAAATGCATTTTTGGGGGGAAGACAAGGAAACTTATGAACAAGGTCAGATTAGCTTCCAGAAAGAATTTGGTTATGAATATTGGATAAAGCTGTTGTCAATCACTGGAGCAGGAAGTGATACAACTGCCTCATCAGAGATAATGATTTTTAAGGGACATTAGGCCTGTTCTTTTATTACTCTCTGCTGCTACCGAATTTCCTTGTCACTGATCTATTAGTGCTACAAGGAAGCACAATCTTCTTTTCCTGTCCTACTTTTTCAAGAAGACAACTGTACTTTTTTTTTTTTAATCAGTACTAAGCAATCTAGGGATCATAACAAACATGATGACAACGCTACATGGCAACAAACTCACCCTGCTCCAGGTCTTCAGCACAAGGCCGATACTAGACATCACTGAGGTAGCTGGATAGCATATATTTCTTTCCAGCTAGGAAACACATTGATATTCCTACGCTATAATTTTTTATTTTTGTCATGATCAGTGCTGATGTTCCAGGCACTAAAGTCATAGCTGACATTGATCTTAAAAGTGTTCCGTACATTTTTATGTGCTGACACTGACCAGGCACCTAGCAAAGTATTGTTAAAATATAATAAACAGCTACAATAAGAGTGAAGACAGTTATCTTCACTAATCATTAAACAAAAAGTTAAGCTCACTAGAAATGGCAGCTCAGACTCTTGGTGAGTTCCATTTTGCTGCCACAGGCAGTAAAAAGATGATGAAATACAGCCATGGACAAACTGACATTTGTGCCCTCTCGCAAGAGTGCCAGACAATGCTGGTCATGCACCCAGCATTAACAAATCCCATCTAGCAGACATAATGCATACACTATAGCAGCACTTCACACATTAACAGATGTAGTATATATCTTAAACATACGTAGCAGGAGCTGGTAGGAATGGAACAGGGCTGAGAAGGCTCCAGCCTGACAGCACAGAAAATATGACCAGAGGAAACCTTATTCTCCTGTCCCCGAGAAACAACACCCGGCTCACCTGAATACAGTAGCTGAATGAAGCCCTCTGTGCCTCAGAACCACAGTCTCACTGGTGGACAGAAAATGCAAGGGTATGGGAAAAATGTTTGGAAAAAACTGTGGTCCAACAGTGAGGTTCACACTTATACACACTTGAATAGCTCCACTGTTCTGTAGATTTCATTCAAGAAAATTCTGAGGACATTCACTGAAATTTTCACATTCCCAAAATACTTAAAAAACAGTTCAGCTATGTTCAGTTACTTGCAATATAGACATATTTCATTTCAGTCGTGCCTAAGCACAGTAAATTAAGGATCATCAAAAAACTATCAATTATTCCTGTTCTGTAGCTTCCACTATACTTTAAAAAGCAAACCAAGAAAATAAGGTTAGTAGTTTTTAAAGTTTAAATATGTATAAATCGATTTTTTTTTCCACTTGTGTACTTTGAAAGTTCCACATATCAAACTCTGCTGGTTCAAAACCACAGCTAAAATGTAATGAAAATGAACTACTGTTCTCAAGAAATACAGTACAAACAGAAAGCAGGTAATTTTGCATGTAGGTGAACATGCAGTCTAAAGAAAAAGAAAACCCACCAACTTTTCCATGCCCACTTGTAATTGCACATTTTCACTGGTGACAGCTATCTGACACTTGGCAAACACTAATACATGCATAAGCAAAACTGATTTGGAAAAATGTCGTTGTTCTTACTAACCCATCTCTGTCCTGCTTTTGTACAATATTGCTCCTTCCAGTATAGGCTGTGAAATGAGAAGTAACTCTGTTCAGTTAAACCACATTCGGATCTGACACACACAGAGTTGTGAAGAAGTACAGTAATTACAAAGCTTTGTCCATCAAAAATTACAAAGGAGAAAAAAAAAAAAATTTAATGACTGGTTCAGCAACACAACCCTGTCTGTACATGAATCTTTAACTGTAAAATTTCGTTTATCCTAAAAAGACTTTTTCATAACAGATTTAACTGCAGCCCCACTTATGTGCACATTTTGTGGTTTAAAAGAACACTGCTCGTTCTTGTGTTTTTCTTAATGCAGCGCTAGCCAATGGCTTCTGAGAGCACTTCGCAGGCTTCTAAACACTAGGATCAGTTGCCAGGACCACCATGTAAGTGTGCCAGGCTGAGTTTCTCATCCTTGCAAGGCACAGGAACTGGGAATGCAACATAAGGTTATTTGGTTTCATAATTAAAAAATAGTAATTTATTATTATTATTTATTAAACCAAGATCAAGACTTTCAGCCTCATTCTCCCAAGACTAGATGGGCTAGCACATGGCATGGAAAACATATGTTCAGCCAATATATGAGAGCACAGACGCAAAAGGAGTAAACAAAGCATCACTTGGCAGCTTCACTATGGGATGACTATGAAAAAACAGTAGCTGACTTGAAGTAACTCTACCTTCACCTCAGATCCAGGAACATTAGTAACTGTAATATAAGGGGACAGCAGGGAAAAAGGAGAATCCAGAAATATCTGAGAGGAATTTGGAAGAAAGCCTAGAGGAGATAAAGTACAACTGTAATGAAAAACCTTCAAAGGAGGATTTTTCTTTATTGCCTTTTTGCTCTACTTCTTATGTTATATTTGCAGTAATTCTGGTTTATATGACTTTTGATATACAGATTTATTCTTTCCTGAGAGAATGTACCATGAAGTTTTAATTAAGTAATGACAAGCTAAGAGAACACTTCACATCTATTATAAAATAAATATAAAACCTTGCTCCACAAGAGATTGTGGACTATGTATCTTGTATGAAATGTAATAATTACCTCATGGCTTTTAATGCCAATTTCCTAATTTTTAAGCATCCTACATATTTTGTCTCAGACAATTAACAATAATTTTCTTAAGCAACATAGCAAGAAGGAACTTCTATTTGATGTCTAGATATTTACATGCTTGTGTGGAAAATCTATTCCAGAAAGCTACCTGACATTTATGTTCCCTTTCACACAGCGATTCCATCACTGTAGAAAATTAGAATTATAGCTGAAAATATATTATTTCTCCCTCATTTGTTTTAGCACTATGCTACTTTCAGGGTCTTAGCATAACTGCAGCAATAAACAGCAAGCAGTGTGCAAGAATTCAGGCAAAATAATCCCAAAATAGCAATAGTAAGCAGTCCAACACTAACACTATCTACCATTTTTTCAGCAGTATTCAAAGCAGTGCTGGATAAATGGTGTTCTAGAGACGTCACCTGTTGTGTCTATATCCAATGAAATATTTTGCTTCTTCAGGATCTTTGCAAAACCATGGAAGAGATCACAAGATGTGATGGCCTCAGTTGTCAATAACATATTGTGAACACCCATCACTGACGCAATCCTAAAATGTTAAAAAAAAACCCTAAAAGAGGAACTGTCTTGAGCAAAAATAAAATGGTTCAACCTCAGTGTAAGAACGACTGAAGTGATGGGAGTGGAAAGGGGAATATACACCACTTGGAAGCCTTCAATGGAGAAAGAACAAGTATAACAAATCTTCAGCTCTGAGTGCCTCCCCACCAAGCTTAAGCAGCCAGCAATCATCAGTATTGCAGTACTTACAAGAAAGGTTTAGCACCTCACTATAAAAACTGGCATGCTGTCCTTTTTAAACAATTACATAAAATCAGGAACTGATACTACTGGCACAAGCACTCAGTTATTCTCTGTTCCCTCCCTCATCTACACTCCCTACGTCTTGCACTCCTTTTTTAATATTCCTGCCCTTGCCTCCAGCACCCGAGTACCACTAACTGCACCCCCTACCCTGCCTCCCACCATGCTACTATGAACTAATCTGAAGGGGCAAGAAAAAATTAACCTTCTCTCAATTCCAGCTCACAGTTAATAAAGGTGCATGCCCAGCTGTGTATCTGTCATCTCTAGAATGGATTTCTGTAATTCACATGATGTGAAGCTGATAACAATGACTCCAACTGGTATAGGATGCAGCCGCTTGCTTCCCCCATGGTTTAGGTCACAATGACACCTCAAGCTCTATTGCTCAATTATTTTGGGAGTCCAGTTCAAGTTCTAGATTGTAATCTCCAAAGCTCAAATTTGTGGTACATTAAAGATTAAATTATTATCTGTGAATATTAAAAATGTACACACATCTTGAACAATACAGGTAACACAAAGCTCTCTGAAATTTTTTACAGTTGGAAACAAAACATTTCCAGTTGTGGGATTCAAGCTCAATGTGATCTTTCAGAGGATTTTAAAGGGATACGAGAGTGTAATTATTTCTAAAAAATACTACAATACTGTCCTTTTTGAAGGCACTCCTCCACAGTAGCAGAAAGTACACAATTATTTTCTCCCTACCCTATTTTCAGCCCAAGAATAGAAGACTAAAGAAAGAAAAGCGAAAACTCGTATTTCAATAAGAGTTTTATCCTAAAAAGGCAAGAGTCAGAAGTTGACCAAAAACATCACTACTACTAATTCTGCTTAGAAAGCACTGAGATACTATGGTTATGGGAAACAATATAAATCACTAAGATAAATAGAAAGTGAATGGGTAACAAAATTAAACTGCAGAAACGTTTTTAGGCAGTAAAAACTGCCTTGAAATCTAATTTCCATTCCTCTTCTTGAAATGATCCCATGCACGTTCAGATTAAAGTGGAACTGTAATGACGTGACTGCAGTGAACTCCACAACTGGAAGAATCAGATACCTAATATCTGACTGCTAAGGCAACAAGACCACATACTAAGTCACTCAAACTATGCAAACAAAGTCCTTGTCCACATCAGGGAGAATGCTAAACTCTCTCGGATGCTTATTTTTTGATATTTTTCACTAGCCTAATTAGCTACATCTGCACTGGCTCAGAGACATGGAGCCAGTCAAAAGAAAAATAACTTTCTGTTGCTGGTCAGCGTATACTGGGTTTTGTATTTAGAAATTAACAAGAGAAATTATTTTCCAGATGCTTCTTTCAGTTCCAGCTGCTCCACCTGCCCAAGGTATTTTTAGAAAGCAAACTGCGTCATAACTCTTCTGTTAAATGAAAAAAAAAACCCCAACCCCAACCCCAAAAAAACCTTAACCAAAAAACTTTGCTCAAAAGTATCCTTTATTCCTATGAAAAAAAAACCAAAACATTTAATACTTTCTCTAGAAATCACTTTAAGTGTTCAAGTCAAGAAGTAGTTCTTTCCATCAGAGACATACATCTCACCTTTCAAGGCTGCTTGTTCAGCTTGCATATACATTCCCAGAAAGAAGTATGTACAGGCAAGGTTCACCCACACATCTGCATTGCAAGCTGGTTGTTTGGTTAAGGCCTCATATTCCTGTAACAGAAGAGAGGGCTGATTTTTTAAAAATGCGTAATAGCACAGACTTATATTAAATATCATTCTCTCTTCCACCATTTTGCAATGTATCATTAAATTACTGAGATCACACGACTTATTCTCAAGTCCATTGGAGTTCTTACAACTAAATTATTACATTTTAACCAATGTCCCTAGCTTTTTTTTGTTTACAGCAATAGAACAGACAACAGGGACAAGCAGTGCTATAAATCTTCACTGTAGGAGCACGAATTCTGTCAATATTGAAATTATAAATATATAATTATATAAATAGTTTTTCTATATTATTAATATACTATTATTTATATTTATAAAAGATTAATATATTAAAGTTATAAAGGCATCAACATAACCAACTTTTCCTCAGTCTTTTCTGATGCTTTCCTAACTTCTCCTCCAGTCAAAGCCTGGGAGCCATAAACACCGGGGAAATCTCTTTGTGCATACTTACTACAGCAAGTGTTAAACATGCTTTTATAAACCTGTAAGTAGTGTCTTAATATACATTAAAACAGTGGTCTCCAAAGTGGGGTGTGTGCACCCCAGTGGTTGTGCAAGACAATACCATTGGGTGCAGGAAGAAAGCTTTTTTGGTACGCTTAATAACCAAAATAAATATTTTTAAAATAGTGTTTATTTCATCTTTATCTCACCCTTTCTTAATTTCTATTTTTATATTATGTAATTATAAACCATACACATTAGTACAGTAGTACATGTATATAATTTATTAAAAAATATATATGTATGTATGTACATTGGGGGTGCATGCTCAAAAATTTTTTACTGATGGGGGTGCATGATCAAAATTGTTTGGAGACCACTAAAATACAAGCCTACAAGTCAGCATTGGACAAATTCAAGATTTCCTAACAGATAAAGATATAATTATAGTAAATATTACTAAATTGTGTCTAACTTCACCATTTCCCATTTTAAGATATACAGCCAACAGATACAGAAAGCCACTAGATACCATATTCTGGCATTTCTTACACATCCACATTCGTTACCTATCCTTAATACTGCCACGTAAACTGCTTCATCTCTTATTTGCGAAACAGTAAAAACTTAAGAGATCAATCTTTCAATCTACTATTTTTTAATGAAAAACCCCCCAACTTTGCAGCTGCTGAACAGTGATAGTCTTGAGGATAAACACCTTTGCTCTGCATAACAATAGTTACTAAAACCAGAGGCAGGGAGACCTCTCGATGCCATTTTTTTTCCCTCTGTCAGGTTTGTGTTAAATTACTAGGAAGGACCATCCCAGTGAAGATGCATCCTGCTGGTGCTCCTGCTCCCCACCCAGCCATGTCCAACAGGCAGCAGAAGGCAAAGCAGGCAGGGTCACATGAGGTTTTCACAAGACCTGCTGAAAGAATGCCATCCACATACTCCTAGTCACCATAAGCCTCTCATCCCTCCCAGCAACACAACCCCTTGCCGACTCTGTACTCTTCCTCCAAACATATAAATCCGAACTTCCCTCTGCCTAGGGAGAGTTTACCAGATTGCGCCACCATGCGTGGAAGACTTCTTACCTCTGGGGGAAAGGCACAGATGTATGTATAGCACAAGATGAAATAAGCCATGCCCAAAGGACAGTGAATCCCAAGAACAGAAATATGCTGACAACAATAAAGATTATAGTTTGCAAGCATAAAGAAATTTTTTTTCTGTTGCCAAGTGAAAGTAAACTGCACTCTCAAACAGAGAAAATACTGGTAAGGTATGCCCCTTAAAAGCCAGCTTGGTCTTGCTAGTATTTCAGGGACTAGCTGTCTTTCAAGAAGATTTAAAATAAATACATAAATAGGAAAAGAAAAAAAATTTACATAGAGGCCAACCTTTCCTACTGAGGCCAGTTCAGTCTTGATGTAGGCCTGTCAAGGAGCTCTGAGAGACAGGCCACTGCTGTTTATTGGGACCATCTGGAATCTTTCAAAATCCGTTCAGATTAAGTGCACCCAAAGGTCTCTTTCAGCTATGGCTTCAGGAAGATTAATTAGAAAAGACAAAGTGCATAAACACAAGTCATGTTCTGGCTTGGCCATTCAAAGCAAGCAGTAAATAAAGAGTGCTCTAGCAGTACCAATGTGAATCTATGGAAACACAGTAAATAAAAATGAGGACTATTAGTGCTCCTTACCCTGTAGTTCTGGGCCATGAGCCCAGACTATGTCTTATTGCCCCTTTCCTCACTAAAAGGCATTCAACATCAGTCTCTCAAAAGACTACTACTTCACAAGAGCTTTCCCCTGTCCTCTCCAAAAAAACAACAAAACCAAACAAACTAAATATCCCCAAAGCTTTCCCAAGAGTCAACCTGTGGCATGTTTTTGCCAACCAGGAGCACAACAACTTCATGCTATTTCACCCTCCTCCACCTCTCACACTTACCACAAGACACACGCGCTTTTCCTCAAAAGCAGGCTGCCAGGTTGATTGCCTACAACTATGGACAGCTACTGACAATGCTGAGGTGAGCAGGATTCTGCTCAGTGCCCTTATTACTTGTCTGGATTCTCCAAGCCCATAAACACAGATCCTGAAGACCCAATAAACAGGCCAACCTATAGGGCTGCCCCACAAGTGCTCAAAGGAGGTGTGGAGACACTCATTGTAACCCTGCTACAGTCATGACAGAAAACCCTAGAGAACTTCCCTGAGCCAAAAATCCATCTTTTACTTTTTAGCTTCAGCTGTCAGGAACTTGAGTGTACCTGTATTCTCACACTTCCAGCAGAAGTACTCAAGGAAGACCAGATACTGCTCATGGATGAGCCATTACCCTAGTATAGCCCTGTTCCTTTCATGATATACTTTGACTGAAATGATCCTGAGCAAAGTCAGGGTAGGCAGGAGGTCCCATCCAGTGAAGAGATGGACTGGCTCCTGATTCTCTGCTAAGAGGGAGGCAGCAGATAGGAGAGATGAGAGGAAAAAGATGATGGATGGTGCAGTTTTTAAAAGCCTGAATCAACAGCATCACCTAGTGGTGAATCAAACACCACATACAAAACCTAATCTCCCCCCCCCCCAAAAAAAAAAGCATGCTCACGCTTTCGTTGAAGGAAACATTTAAAATCTACTCTAGCTATAAAAGCACCTATTGAGTATTCCAAATAGCAAAATTTATTTCAAAGGAATTGCAAGTTATTTTGTATACAAACATTTTTCTTTTTTTAAACTTTCACTTCCTATTAACACCTAACATCTAGATAGAAATTAACTACAGCAACTAATTTTTACATTCATAATCTTTAAATTGCACAACTGTAAACATGAATATTAAGTTACCACTATGTCCTATACTACTATTCTACATTCTATACTGTGCATACTGTCAATTTGATTCACTGAGCATTTCTAACATCTCCAACAGATGTTTCCTATTCAGTTTTTCAAGGGGGAACGTGCCTTGTGAACTTACTCAGGAGCCTTAGAAATTCTATTTCCGCCTCGCATATGAATCTTGGGCACTTGACCATGTATTACTACAGTTAAACACCTAATTTTATCTAAAAGAGAAAATATAATCATTGTTCTATAATCTATTTCTCTATGGTTATTTTCTTTTGTTAATACTTCAAATTATCATCTGTTTTTGATATTTCTTCCAGGGAAAGCAAGTTAAAAGACTGCAAAACCAGCTATACTTCACAATTATTCTTCACAGTGAATCGTGATGGAGATGTCCCCCAGCTGACACTGACTGAAACCAATACACCTTAAACGGTGCAGTACCGCGTTGTATGGACCCAGCAATTCACATCTGTAGGAATACAGCAATGAGACAAACAATGCTTAGGCAGACTGAGTTGTTTTCAAATCTTCGCTGGCTTATACGCAGCCTTGTGGGTATCGCCACACCACTCCACAACACTCCCTGTTCTGGTGTGCATACTGACTCCAGCCCTCGGACGTACAGAGCAAGGCAGACAACAAAAATTTCTTAAGACTTCTACAGAGAAATATGCTAGCACAACTAAGAAGATAAAGGGATCCCAGGGACAGCGGCAACAAATTGATTGGCAACAAATTGAGTTTCGCTGGAGACATAAATGGACGCAAGAGAAGAATTGCATATGGACTCATACACTGAAAGAGACACAACAGCACTGTATGGTGAAAATATTAACAATGTAGGCATATTTGAATAATCAACATGTCTTTTAGTGACTTAAAGCTTTTGGCAAATAAGAATGTCTCATTTCATTGAATTACCTAATACAAGAAAACATAGAGAAGAACAATAAAGTACATTAAATGGCCAGGGGCATCAACCTCTAAAGAAAGAATTAAAAAAGCACGCACATTACAGATAAGCTGCACAATGAAGACAAAGGCATAATTAAACCTGAAAAACGAAACTGTGAAAAACTAGCTGTAAAAAGGGAATGGAAAATTTAGGACATGAATTATAACATTTAAAAGGACAAATTAGGCTATGGAGCCTAGTATTAAATCAGACAGTAGGTAACATTTAAAAAGGTCTATTTTCATAGGCAAATACACTTCTTTTCAATCCAAACCGCTTTCCACAGCATCTGCCTTACTACCCTACATTTGTTACCTTAAGTGGCTGGCAGAACTGTTCCCCATTACAGAACGTTTTCCTCCTGTTGTCATCGCTTTATCACAACATCCCGTTTTCCAACCTCGGGGAGCAGGATTTCCCCACCTTACCTCCAGTGCTCTCTTGTAGTCACCCAAATGAAAGGCAGAGTATCCGATCCAAAGGTCAGCATCCTCCTCCTGTTCACCCACGTGCCGTTTAAACTTTGTAGAGAAGAAAGAATAAAGAATTTGGACAGCTGCCACACAGTTTATAAGGCCCCACAGGCAATCAAAGTAAATACTAGGCCATCTTTTTTCTCGGATGGTTTGGCAGCTGCGGATGCTGCTGGGGTGGAGCTGCTCTCGTGTTTCTGAGGGAAGCAGCACGCAACCCTCACCTGCCAACCTAGTTCTGCGAAGCGAGGGGAAACGCTGCCGCAGCAGGGCCGAACGGCCGCAGAAGGAGGCGAGGGGGACGCAAGGCAGGGGAAGGGTTTCCCTCGTCCCGCAGCCCCGCCGGGCACGGGCCCGGCGACGGCGGCACTGCTCTCCCGAGGGGACCGGGAGAGCCAGGGGGCCGGCGGCCCCCTCGGGCCGGGGTCTCCACCCCCGCCGCGGCCGTTACCTCCAGCAAGGCGATGGCGCCGGTGAAGTCCCTCAGGGCCAGGAGCTCTTCCAGCTGCGGCACCTTCTTCCCTTTCTTCCTCCGCCTGTCCGCCGGCGGCGGGGTACCCCCCACGGCCGGCTTGGCCCGGGAGAGCATCTGGGCAGAGAGCAGAGCGGAGCCGGGTCAGAGCGGGACCTCGGCGGGGCTTCCCCCGCCCCAGGTGGGGGAAGCGCCGCACCCGCCCCGCCCCGC